GATGTCCCTCGGCGCTGGATCAGGCTCCGCCCACGCTCCTCTGACTCATAAGATGTAGGTGGGGGAGACCTAATGCTCATGCGCGGCATTAGACCTCCCCACAGGAAAGCATTATTTAATGCTTTCCTATGGGGATTTTGGCGACGGTGGAGGTACTCACATGAGGATGTCCAGCGTCGTTTAAAACACTTTTCATGTTCTAACAACACGGAAGTCCCTCTAGTGGCTGCCTGATAGACAGCCATTAGAGGTGGACTTCACCCTTCAAGGTAATTAGTGCAGTTTATAAAACTGCAATATTTACAGTTGCAGGGTTAAGGGTGGTGGGAGTTGGCACCCAGACCACTACAATGGGCAGAAGTGGTCTGGGTGCCTGGAGTGTCCCTTTAAGTTATTGTTGTGTAAATCTAGCCTTTCTTATGAGCTTCTCCTAACTCTGGGGTTATGTATAAAAAGTATCTAGCCCTTGCCGGTAGTGTTTTGTGTCCGGATTTGTCCATTGTAATCGCAGAGTATAGAAGTGCTGACTTCCATTGGATTCTCCTCCCCGGCTGTCAAACAGGGAGGTTATCTTCCTCATTCTGTTAGACCGACAGAGCTAATGAAAGTGTCAGCCGCTCTCTAGCAATCAAGATGTGGCTAATAGTGGATCCAAACCCATGGCCTATTTTACACTTGCTAGTCCGTATTTCCGAGTCCCTCTGTCCTCCATGGAAAGCTTGAATCTTAAAATTAGAGGTTTCTCAAAGATAAGTCATAAAAGAGCCGCAACTTTTGCACCCTGAATGGAAAACATGCTCAATTAAATAAATGGATTTCTTCCATTGGGGTTATATCTACTAAATATTGCTTCTTTGCTTGTGTTTGGCCAGGGAGTGTTTCTTTAAAGGAATCCTTCAAGCACCTTAAACACTACAACTAATTTCATTAGCACAGCTCATTATATCATTAAAGCTTGTTGTAGAACTAAAGAAAGTTTTTGACAAAAGCAGGATGGATTACACACAAACGCTTTCACATACTCCTTACGTGTACAAAATGTATTGTGAGTAAACCTGGTATGCGATGGTGGGCCATGAACGCTGTTATAACCGGGTTCTACTGTGTCCAGCTTTACATTGCCGTCCAAACCCATAAAAATATTGAGCAAGTGCGATACCTACCTTATATCACTGGCAGCACAGGGAATGGGCATTAGTGAGTACAGTGAGCTGTAATAATACAATAAGCTGTAACAATGCAATGAGCTGTAATTTTACTGTAAGCTGTAATTATACAATGAGCTGTAACGATACAGTAAGCTGTGATTATACAATGAGCTGTAACAATGCAATGAGTTGTAATGATGAAATGAGTTGTAATAATACAATGAGCTGTAACGATACAATAAGCTGTAGCTGTCATGGTGCTTCGTTTCCCTTTAAACTCACAGTCCTCCTTAAGTGTTTCATGACTGAGAGCAATTGAAGTTACACATAAATAAAGATTAATAATCAGGATTATGGGAAGCTAGGTGATATATTATTAACCTTACATCTACACAACAATAACTTTAATAAAAACAAAACCATTTATAGACACATTAGGAGAATGTTTTATGCTAAGGAGAACATCAAACTGCACACAAGGGACAGATCAAAGTTAAATGCCCACAAAAAGGGAATTTTAATAGTCTAAAAGTTATGTGAGGGTTAACAAACTGCTGAAAAGATCTTAATCGGAGTCTTTTCATTGCCAGAGCTCCTTTTCAGTAATATTACCTAATTGTCCTAAACTGCCTATTTGTGTTTGTATATTGGGGATAGACATCTTTCATTTGTTTTCCTTAAAGGGAAGCTCTTTAGAATACTCTCTTCTTGTTGTGATGAAGGATGAAACCTTTTTAAAAGCAAGGCTGCAGGAAATGGATGAAGTGGTTATGGTGTCCCGTTTATGTAAATGGGAGCTTTGGGGCTATTGTCCTGCTTCAGGATGTATTGTTATCTTGTCCAGTGTGAGAAACTCGCATGGATCTGCTTTACATCTCTTCCACCTGTCTGTCCTAAGCTGAACCTGCTATAATCCTGCTGTGTCTTGGTGTTGGTTTTATGAAATCCCTATCCTGATGTTAATTAACGAGCCATCCGTACTAAGCAGATATTTACTAATCTACAAAAAAATCTATCCATATGCCCCTCACAGATACCCCTGTATGGTTTCCATGTTAAAATACATAAAGTGTAGCATAACATAAATAATAAATACAATTAACAGCAGCTTGGTTTAAAGTTATAGATGATGTAATTGTTCTGCAATATGAGGTCCGGGTTATAAACCCCATATCTCTCACATCTCTCTGGAGCGGACAGCTCCGTTACTCCAGTTTGGTGGCCAGACTTCTGACATTGGGCTGGACAGTCCTCAGATGGGGCTATAGACTAGAAACTTTCTCACCCAATGATGTGATCTATTCACTAAATGGCATGTCTAGAATTTAGACCAAAATAGTAGATTGACTGTTCGGCTGAGTGAAGATTCTTTTTCTTTAAGCTTTGTCCGCTCACTACAGCTTCCTGTGGGCAAACAGAGGGGGTCAACGTCCTCTTCTGTTTCAAGTTAAATCTGCATTTTGTGTCGAGAATGAATCAACAAACGGCGTCTCTGTAAATACACAAAATAGCCTCGTACTATCAGGGTTATTTACTAAAGTTGGAATTCTGTTCTTAAAGGGACACTCCGATGGTCAAATAATAACTGTTTAGTATGTATACCACAATGAAAACATGCATGCATTGAAATATGCATTTTTATCCATTCGGGATATATCTAAAAACGGCTTGCAAACACTGCCGATCTCAAGTCTGCAGCCTTTACAAGCCCTCCCAAACGTTCTGTGGCTGTCCAATCACAGACTTCACAATGCAGCTCAATGAGAAGTCTTTGCAAGGCAGGTGCTCTGAGCAATAGCTGCCTCTTGGGTTTAGTTTCACTGAGCTAAACAAACCAGGAAGTAACAGGACCGAGTGTCTGAAATTTGCATTTTTCTTTTTGTAAATTGAAAAACAAGGACACACTCTTCTAACATAGAGGCACTTTAGCAAAAACTACTTTACGGGTTCGGAGTGTCCCTTTAACCAGAAGGTTAAAGGATCAATATAGGGTCAGGAATACAAACATGTATTCCTGACCCTATAGTTTTAACACGACCATCTAGATCCCCTGGGCCCCTCATGCCTCCATAAATATAGTTATATATCTTACTGTATTCAATCCTGAAGCTGTAACTCTGCATGCTTTTTGCCTCAGAAAAACAAGCATTCTGCTGACATCATCAGAAGTAGTAGCCTGATCCAATCATAGTGCTTCCCCATAGGATTGGCTGAGACTGACAAAGAGGTAGATCAGGGGCAGAGCCAGCATGATTCAAACACAGCCCTGGCCAATCAGCATCTCCTCATAGAGATGAACTGAATCAATGAATCTCTATGAGGAAAGTTCAGTGTCTGCATGCAGAGGGAGGAGACACTGAATGTTTGGATGCATTTTAGGCAGCCATGACCCAGGAAGGATCTCTAACAGCCATCTGAGGAGTGGCCAGTGAAGTTATCACTAGGTTGTAATGTAAACACTGCATTTTCTCTGAAAAGACCGTGTTTACAGCAAAAAGCCTGAAGGTAATGATTCTACTCACCAGAACAAATTCAATAAGCTGTAGTTGTTCTGGTGACTATAGTGTCCCTTTAATTGCTCCTATTAGACCTTTTATTATTAAAATAATGTAATTATTCTCAGTTTGACAGATGCTCCTGTTACTTTCCCTGTAAAACCGTCCGCCTGTCTGTTCCTCTCCAAATAATGTATTTCTAAAGAAAACATTGAGCTTTAACCTCATTAGGAAAGTAAGGAATTTAGAAACACTGCAGTCACCATAACAACTTCACCTAAATCTTAAATCTAAGTGCCAGTGGGCCCCCATGTGCTCTCTTACCTTAAGGGGTTAATCCATTCTTGAATGGTTTAAAGCCAAAGGGTTGTCTCCAGTGCCGATCTCAGTTCCCCCTCGGTGGTATCCGGTTTCTGAATCTGTGTTACAGGAAGCGTTGAGTGGCTCCAGGCAGATTAAGTGGTTATAGTGCCTAAACAGTTCATCCTAATTGTTCATCACTAGGGCCCGAATTATTGTTATCATGTTGTTATAAATGATCGTAAATAAAGCAATATTCATAACCCAAGATAAACTAGATTTATTCGCTGAACAGTGAGTGGTATGTTCTGCAGTAGACTGACCTTCAAGTCCTCTAGGTCCAGGTCTGTACGACGCCTTGATTATTACAGTTTCCTAAAATAAGCCACATTGTCCATTTATTGTGCTGTTTGTCTGTATGTCCTGTGTGTTAATCATCCTTTCATTTTATAATCTTCATCTACCTCCATCTAACCTTACTGTTCCAACAGAAACCCTTTCCTTGAAGTTCGACTTAGACCCACCGTTACAAACGACAGATCTGCGCCCCTTGTGAACTGAACCTCCAGACTCCCTGCACAGAGACTGATTCTGCTTGGTCCGACCTCCAGTAGAGGTTCCTCACGCTGGTGAATTAGTTTGAACCAAGCAATTATAAGGGGACTAGGGTCTGCATGACAGCAATTTGGTTATACAGTGCCAGGAAGCACCTTTGTGTCTCGAAAATGGGTGGGATCAGACTTTTTTTTTTTTAAATATATTTTGGCAGTTAAGACTTCTGCAATAAATAGTTTTAACTCCTGTCCAGGCTGTAGGTAAGGCCATGCATTTTATTTTTATTATAATAAGCGCTTTACCTCCATACCATGGCATCTTGTGTGAGAATTAGGGGGGAACTATTAATTGACTAGTCTTCCCCCTCACAATGCCTACAAAATGTAAATAGAAATCTCACATCTTGTGTTTTTATTCCAGTGATTGCCGGTTATATTATATAAGGGTTATATACACAACCATTTTTGGAATCCAGAGGTTCCTTTAAAAAAGAAATATTAGAAAATAATTGAAGTGTCTTTTATGAGACACGCATAGGTCCAGACCTACTTATATAATATATAGACTTTATTTAATGGATTCAAATTCTATAGTTTGGGATGTGCTTTCTTAGCATTGAGGGATGTTCCAGCTTTTACCCTCAGGCCTTGACAAACCATAATGCAGCATGCCATTTGCACATTAATACTTTGGGGGTCACCGCTACCCTAGCAAGAGATTAGGTCCAATTCCAAGCGAGATTGCTCGATGTCCGCATGCTCTTAGTTGGTGAGTGAGGGTAGAGCTTGGAGGGGCTGGCCTCTCCACCATTATATAACATTTAAATTTATTCTATCCAATCATATATTTGTAATAAAGCTTGGTTTATAGAATCTCATTTTTATAGTAAGCTGCACTTGTTTGATGGAAACACATGCCAAAGAGGGTCTGCAATGCACGTGCAGCTCGGAGTTTAATATTAGAATGATCTTTAACTGTAAATGCATAAGCTTTAAAAAGAAAATATGTGTATGTATATTTATATAAAATGTGTGTGTGCGGAGATTTATAAAATAAACACCTTGTAGAACAATAAAGAATGAGCTAGATTACATTAACAGATCTCAGAGGTCTATAATCACTGGAAGCGATAGGCACTTAGATGGGCCAGGAATTAAAAGGTTTAGGCCATGGTGGCACATTATCTTACTAAATAAAACATCCAATGGTTAGGGCAGGGTAGCCAAATGTTCCAACTCTCTTTGCTAAAACCTGTGTGTGTTTACTGTCATTACGTGTTCTGTTAAAGCAGCTTGGTGATATTCAGATTAAAAGACCACTATAGGCACCCAGACCACTTCAGCTCAATGAAGTGGTCTGGGTGCCAGGTCCATCTAGGGTTAACCCTGCAGCTGTAAACATAACAGTTTCAGAGAAACTGCTATGTTTACACTGGTGTAAATCTAGCCTCTAGTGGCTGCCTCACTGACAGCCGCTAGAGGCGCTTCCGCGATTCTCACTGTGAAAATCACAGTGAGAAGACGCTGACGTCCATAGGAAAGAAATGTTTTCCTATGGACTGATTGAATGCGCACGCAGCTCTTTCTGCGCATGCGCATTCTGCGTTGCTGTCAAAAGAGGGAGGAGAGTTCCCCAGCGCAGAGGGAGCCCAGCGCTGGAGAAAGGTAAGTGATTAACCCTTTCAGCCCCCTAGAGCCCGGCAGGAGTGGGACCCGGAGGGGGGGGGCATACAAAGACCCTATAGTGCCAGGAAAACGAGTTTGGTTTCCTGGCACTATAGTGGTCCTTTAAAGAGAGGGATACCTGCTACCCCCCCCAGGGATGTGGACCTGCGGTAACAAACTTGCAGCCAGGGCGTAAATAGTGAGTTGTGTTTTATTAATGGGGCACTTGTAGCACTATAACCACTGCAATCAGCTGTAGCGGTTATTCTGCTATGTATAAGGTTGTCTGGCATCCCCTGGCTTTATGTCAAACTAACTAACTGCTGCTGAGAAACCATCCCGTTCCACAATGTTAACACATTACAAAATGCTGGGTTAACCAGCCTGTCCCAGATTAGATCCACACTCGATAATAGTGCTGTTTGGGGGTGGGCTATTATTTCAGGAGCGCCTTGTTTCTGTTAAGCTTCAGTTTAGTGTGACCTAAACAGAGGGAAGCTAGCGATCGACATGTACCACCATAACCACTACACCAGGGCACACCTTGTACCATAACCACTACACCAGGGCACACCTTGTACCATAACCACTACAGCAAACTATAGTTCTTGATCTTGGAGTTTTCCTTTAAATTATAAAAAAAATAATCAGTAAATCAAGACAATTTACAACATTATTCTAATCAAGCAGCATTTTCATTTGTCTGGGAGCGGTATTAAATGATTATTTAAATTCACCCTGCAGTGTTCTTTGACATTTTTGCCTCCTTTTTTTTTTTGTTAAATGCGATTTCAGTCAAATACCTTTTTTTTTAATACAAATAAAAATACTTGCCTCTGAGTGTCTGTTTGGAAGAGGATTTCCACCTGCAGAGCTGTTCCCAGGACCCTTTTAGAAGTGAGATCCTATCCAATGGTGCCTCCTACTCCCCACCATTTGTGTAATGCAGGACACCCCTGCTAGTCCTGCATCTCATGCGCAGTTCGATGTGGGCCAGACTCTCCCAGTACCCAAAGCCATCAACATTCTTCTTCTCCCAGGATTATGCAGAACTTTATATGAGCTGTGCCAGGTTAATAATTCATTACAATACAATTTTTTTTGTACAGAGAACGTAAAGTCTATCTCCCTGTCATGCCAGCAGCAGTAGGAGGGCGGACATCGTGTGCCAGAAGAGCTCCTGTTTTTGCCAAACTGCTCAATGCTTTGCCAAAAACTGTTGAGGTTATGGTACTTTGTGTCCCTTTAAACTCTTTGTTGGGGAGCAGATATGAAGACTACCCAAATTTGTTTCTCATCACACACTGAAGTTAAATTGTGTTGGAGTCACTGCAGTACCTACCTACCTGCACCTTGACCTCTGCCACAGTGCTGGCAGCAGATACTCCGCCGTCTGTATGTTTCCTAACGCAGTGACGGCTAGCCTTGCCATAGCACAGAATCACAGGAAATTTGGCAAACGTCTAGGGAGGCAGCGTTACCCACTCATTCCACAGAGCCAAACAAGAAAACCAGGAAGTCACATGTCAAAAAAACCATTCTGTTGCATTTTATTGAACGCTCATTGCACATGTACCCTACTTCTCTAAATAAACATTAAAATAAAAACAAGGGAAAAAAATAAAGATTAGTCTAAAACCAATAAACCCCTAATGCCGCTTTACATCTCTTTGGCAACAATAACATACGTTTGTCATTTTCTCTTCATTGAGTTACCCAAGATGAATTGTACAAAAATAGCACATACTGTGTACAGTGTTCAGAGTGCACTGAGCGAAGTGAAGCTGAGGATGCTGGGAATGTGCGGCCTCTCCAGCTACGATCCATGCTCCAACTTGTTCCTCTATGAACTGTAACATCAAATTCTTCAACAAATTACACCGTGGGGGCAATTCAATAAGCAGTGAATTCACTAGTGCAAAGCAGGGACTTGTTTATTTTTTTTCAATTTTGCCCAACATTTTAAAACTCGTCTTCATATTGCCAAGTGACGCCTTGTGTGAAGCACGCTGGACTACAACTCCCATCGGTGTCAACAAGACAATATAACTTCAAATAAGCAACCCCCTCCCCAGATTGTAAGGCACCCGGCACCTTGAGCTAAGCTATGACAGCTGCCCATATAGAAAATGTTTCATTCCGCCTCCCAGGGGAACATCCACATCTTAATCACCAGCACAGATTATCAGGCCAAAAAAGCCAAAATGAAAACACAGCTGGACTGCAGATTATTTCTACCTCGGATATTTCGGCCTAAAATTGTAATTTTGTTTTTACTTTCAGACTGTTCACACTTCAGTAAATAATCCTGCATGACTTTGTTTTAATGTGTAAACACTTTTGCCCTTCCCACTACGCCATTACACATCGCACTCAGATGTGATCACCGCCTGCCGTTTATTTCAATTTATGTATCGGAGCAGCTGGGAGATGATGTCTGTATGTGGATGATGGAGGAGAGGTTTGTCTGCATAAATAATTTGTGTATTAAAACAAACCGCTCAGTGACTGTAACAGCTGATCTATGATGGGGGAAGTGGTCAATGTACAGAAGGAAGGACAGGTTTGTAGGGGTTGAGAAAAAGTAGTCTGACAGGTAGGTACTAAGGCTTTCCAAACGCTCTCCAATCTCTGGGTTATTTGGTGCCAGGTATTACACGTATTCACTGGCAAAGCAAGTGAGAAGTGGCTGGCAGTGATGGGCAGATTGCTCCAGTTACTCGGCCCACTAGGAAATTCTATTTAACCAGTGTCCGAGTTAGTGAAGGGATAGCAGGAAATCAGCTCTCTCTCCCCTAGGATCCAATCCATGTCGGCGTCACCTTTAGTAAAGGCATATTGCTGAGAGAAAGACTATTTGGAATACTGTGTATCCAGACCGCATTTCCTAACCTCACGGGGTCGATCATAAGAGTGGAGGGATCTCAATGTATATCATCTGCCATCCCCTCGTATCTAATTAAGTTGGACACACCTAATTAAACCTACCACTAAAGGGACATTCCAGTCCTATAAAGCTGCCAATTTCAAGAGAAATCCACTTTTTCAATTGCCGTTAGTTGCACCCCCTTGACGGCCCCCTTGAGTTTCCTGCCTTACTCGTTCATAATACTTATTATAGAGAAGCACTGGTTTCAACCGCAGCATGCGCCATGTGTCCTAGTGAGAACCATCTAACAGGATACAAGTAATCAGTATTGATAATGTCACAGGAGGGAATCTGACTACAACAAGGAGGCTCGCGATTTTTAATGGAGAAATGGGGACCCAGTAAACTAAAATCATTAACCGCATGTGTCAGTTTTTGGGGTCCTAGCATATCTTGCAAAGACCCCGAAAGTGACAGATCCTGTGTGGGGTGCAGGAGAATGTAAGTTTTACTTACCTCAAACTGTCCCCCACGACCGCCGCCATCTTCGTCTTGCTAGTCTCTTCAAAATTGACTTCAGGGCTCCGCCTTTTGTCAAACTCAGACTTTTCCATAAGACAAAGTAGTCCCTACTTTATGTTCAGACATATTTGGATTGAGTTGAAATTTTACTGAAATTCCAACACAATCAATGAGTATTTCATAAAGAATATATCCTTATAAAATATTGAAACATGACAGATCTGCTTTAAGAGCACATACAATTATTATTATTTTATAATTGTAGTGTGATCCACTGCAAGCTCCTTCATGGCAGGACCTCCATCCTATACAGAAATGTGTTTAATCCTATTTAGGAATGAGTCAACATAAAGTTGCTCAACAAAATGGCTTTGTGTGCCAAGCATTGCCCTCCTGAATAACGCAACTAACATTTATTACAGGAGGCAAGGCTTCTGGGCCGAGACCGACGTAGGAAAAATAAATTCCTGAATACACTCCATAGTTTTGGTTTTATATATTTATTGGATTTATCCTCCAAGATTTGTTTATAGCAGAAGTTAAATATCGAGGGATATTACCACCAATCATATATATAGACTATATATCTAGGCTTTGTAGTGGTGACATAGATGTGACACCTCTTGCCAAAGTAAGACAGGGGCTGGACAGGTTGTCAATCAAATGATAGCCACCTATAATGTATTGAGATGTTAAGTTCCCATTCTGTCGAAACATTCAATGGACCATAGACAATCTCTCACGCTGCAATACTTTAAATGTACTGCAAAAAACTGTAATAGTGAGAGCACATTAATGTTACAGCAGCCACGGTGGGCAAGATTACCAACATGCACAAGCAATTTAGCAGGTGTTAGACAGAGGAGAACTATCCTATGAGATAGACATCTGCTTTACAACTGCAACCGCCGCAATGCTTTACCAGCTTCAAGGCTGCCACAATATCATAGATGTTGCAATTGTAAAAGCTGGGGACCTACGTTTTGGCCATCCCTGTTGAAGATGGATCGTCCAGACTTATGGAACATAAATGGAAAGGAGAGCAGAAATTAAGTTGATCCCTGGGTATTCTGTGTGGAGGTTTGGTGATAAAGTGCAATCGCTGGCAATCATGTCAAAGGCTACGCGTTAATGTGAGAAGAAGATCTGTCTTGGAGAAATGTTTACGTTGATGAAATTCCGGTGTGACAAGGACAACACCACAGCACGAACCGCACCTTTACTATGATAGTTTGTGAGATGTTTAAAGAGATAGAGTGATGTTGGTGCAATGCAAAGATAACTATGTTTGTAGATGTGTAAAACAGTCCTGGTGATATGAAGGTCATTGTAAAAATAAATCCTTTGTACAGTTAGCTTTACGCCTTCGATTACAGTATATACACTGGGTCATACTGCTTCTCCGCAGCTCTGAACACCCACAAACCCCAGGACTTGGAAAGATAAATCGTTCTTTTATAATCTGTTTACAAAAAAATAAATATTCTCACACATCCATCTATGTAACCTATATAGACATACATTGCAATATGCCATTATGTACTATGGAGAATGCAAGATCCTGATACATATATTAAATGGCCCCGAAGGCGCAGTCAGTTTTAAAACGTGAGCACAGGTAAATGGACCATGAATAGCGGCGTCCAGAGCTACACTGTACATGGAGCGATACAGCACGTGGCTGCGATATACCAAGCCACTAGTCCTTAGTTTTCACTTCAACTGAGCGTGATAAGACAGGAGAAGGTGGTCTATCGGTTATATACAGAGTGAGGACTAGTAGTCAGAAGATGGAATAAATAGGGTTATTACAGCATAAATCCGTTCAGATTCAACATTAACTCCAGTCATTACAATATATGGATATATCAGTGCTTTTCAAAGTTAATGACAGTAGAAAGGTTTGTTCGACCAGAATTTTCCAAACTACGTGTGTCACTCGCTCCGGGTATAAGAGTTAACGACAAGCGCACAGGAGGTTAGACACATTTTTGAAGCCAAGCCCATGAACTGTCGGTTATGGACACACCGTCACAGTGTCACAGTCACAAAGCAGATTCAGTGACACCGAGGGGGTTCCAGGCCGAACGGCATCCAGACATAGACCAAACTGGAGGAGAACCATAATAATGACGATTTGCAGACAGTCTATTAGCTGCACAGACACCAATAAAATCCAAAGAAAAACTTTGTTTCCCTGCAAAGGACTCTGTCTGAAAGAAGATACGTGAGACACATACAAACCACATTCACCCGCATCCACATACAGCATTGTGTAGGCATATATAGATATGTGCACGCACACACACGTAACTCGTTCTACAGATACACAGGTCCCATGCTTTCTGGAGCACAAACCAAAAAAACAGGTGTGCACTCCCAGACAATTTCCAAAAATAAAATAAAAATGTAAGAATGCCCTGAACAAACTGGCAGTCACACGCAATGCATACAAAACGGCTGAGCATGTAGCAGTGGTTGGGTCACGGACAGAGTTTGTGGACAGCAGCAAACATGAATTAAACCTCTTCCTTGGAATCCCCACTCCTCAGCATGCGTTGTTCGGTCCTGAGCTTCAGGCATCTAATGTGAGCCCCAAACTGAAATCTCACACCCGTCCCCCAGAATTGGTGCTCCCTAAAAAGAAATCACAAAGATATCATCAAAATGTGAATATTCAATGGATCTCCTTTTTTTAAAGTGGAAATGTGATCTACAGGGCTACTCGTGTTTAATAAATTAATGGATATTTCTGTCGTTTTTCATTTTTCAGACAGGGTATTTGTACTCTTCTATTTTTTTATTTTTATTTATTTATTTTAAAAATTCTTTATTTTGTCGTGCATGTAAAATACAAAGAGACAAGCAATGCCACAACAGCTATTGCCAGCTGAGTAATCAACAGTTAGGGATACTTGTATGGACTCTAATAACATTGCACATTTTAATAAATATTGTAGGATAATCATCGGATAAACGAACATGTCAGCTACTAGACCATGCGTGTGTGAGTAAGAGAGATCATACATAACAAAGGGAAACATTAGCTTGGCTCACAGATTGGAATCATATTTTAGTCAAAGATGGGGCCAAGGTCAGGCTAGGACACAGCAGTAATATACTGAGCTGCTTACACCTGTCGTAGTACCTGAGCTGAGCACACCTGTCATAGCACCCGAGCTGAGCACACCTGTCGTAGTAACTGACATCACATGCGGTTAATAAAAAAAAGATCAACCGCATGTTTCCAACTAGTAGCCTGGCAACATGCTACGCTAGGTAAAAATAAGAAAACTGACTGTAAGAATCTTAGAGCAGAGCTATGAGAAATAACTGCAACTAGTTACCGTTGGGTAGGTATGATAGTCCTGTGTAGCTCTCTATAAAGTGTACAAAAAAGATGTAATTGCATAAGGCAGGAAGCAGAGGGGATTCTATAACCAGACGACATGGCACTATGTACAATTTGCCTGCTTCTTAGCCAATTCCAAGAAATGGTAAGGATCCAGAGTATGCTATTGTGCCGTGTCAGGAGGTCACGCCTTCTCTTTTGTTCTGTGTCACCCTGAGCGGATGCCGAGAGTGGTGAGCAGGCGATGACTGCTTGCAGAATATCCCTGGAAGCCACATAATTTGGAGGTAAGTCGCCCATCCTGGATCTTTGCCCAGAAGCGTGGGTGTCGAGTTGAGCACATCTTCGGATGGGGTCCCTGTCCAGAGCTGGAAGAGGGTGCAGGCATACCCACCACCTCTGCAGGTGGAGATTGAATGGGGGGTCTGCTGTGTATACGCCTCCAAAATGCCTGGAAGATCCGGTCAAATTGTGCGTTGTAGCGATCCTTCCACCGCTAAATCTCTGAGCCCTCTTGGTGCTGTGGAGTCTGTGGCATGGACGCCATCTTAGTCGCCATGCGGTCTGTGGCTTGCGAGGGGAGATCTCTGCTGTAGGTAAGTATGTTTCCCCAGCGTGGACCGGGATATCCCCCACCGATCCACAGGGGGGATGCAGGGCTTTAGGTGAGCTGCTGTTTAGATCAGGCCCCATGTCAGGGGAGCGTCTCCCCCGGACACTAGGCCGCAAGCTACACCAGGCTTCATGCTCTGATATTCGTATCGCTCAACAGACTTTTGTAGATCTGCAAGCTCCCACTTGTTTCGGGAGCAGACCACCGTCTTACAAGCCTGGAAATATTACGCTTTTAGGCAGTAAGTGCTGAAAATTTGCTCATCAGCACCAGAGCTCTCACAAGACACATCTGGCCATCTTGGCTATCAGGCCTCGACCCCCTCCTCCCTATTTTCTTTTTTAACAGCTTGTGCTGAATGGGTTCCGGTGACTGTAAGGCGGCGCAGCCATAACTCATTATTTAAAAATGGTAAAATGAGTTGCTTAGTGAAGAAACTCCAGTGTGATTTAAGAAAGGGTTTAAATGGAATGTTTCAAGATACAATAAACTGAGCTAGCAACGTAAACGTTTTATTATTAAACGATTACGTGTTATAAAGCCTCTGTGTGTATTATTTTGTATATACCTCTGATCACTGGATATAATGTGCGCCCATTTTCTGTGCAGACAACCATCTTTAAGCCCTTTTATGCGACCCTGGTGTATATATGATTACAACCATTGCAAATGAAATTCCCGGCAGGGAGATTTAGAGATCGCACAGCGCAATGCTGCTCACTGTACAGGCTGCCCTCTGGAAGTGCTCCTACCCGGTCAGAGACCAGAAGGGGACCTTCCGAGGTGTCTGCTCCACAGACAGCTCACCAGGATAACTGCTGGACCACCTCACTGCAAAAAAGTAAGCTATATGTGGGGAGGCTGAACAGGAAATTACAGCCTCCCCACATACAATCACCCCCCCTGCACACCCTCACCTTGTCATTCAGCCCCTCCCCCCACACACTCACCCTGTCACATCACTCCCTCCCACACACTCACCTGTCACATCACCCCTTCCCCCCACACACTCTCCCTGTAACATCACCTCATTCCCCGCACACACTCACCCTGTCATTCAGCCCCTCCACCCACACACTCACCCTGTCACATCACTCCCTCCAACACACTCACCTGACACATCACCTCCTTCCCCGCACACACTCACCCTGTCATTCAGCCCCTCCCCCACACACTCTCCCTGTAACATCAGCCCATCTCCCACACACTCACCTGTTATATCACCTCCTTCCCCGCACACACTCACCCTGTCACATCACCCCCCCCACACACAGTAACCTTGTTACAATCACCCACACACTCGCCCTGTAAACATAAGCCCAGTCCCTCACATGCACATTTACCCTGTCATATGACCCCTTCTCACACACAAACTCAGTCACCCTGCCATAGTCACCACCTCCACCACACACCTTGTAATATCATCCTCCAACACACACTCACTCTGTCATATGACCCCCTCACAATAACTACTCACAGTCACCATGTCACAGTCACCCCTACACTAACCCCTCACGCACAGTAACATTGCCAAAGTCACTCTGTCACAACCACCCTGCCACAGGCACAACCCCACAGAAAGTAACCTTCATACTCAAACACACACAGCACCATTGTAAACACAACGCACACAGCAAGATTACAGGAAGCCTCCCCTTATACATATAACACACTGCAAGCAGCTCCCTCCACACACAGAGATACATGTGCTCCCAGACACAGATATGCATTGCAGGAACAGTCATGGATACAGATACAGATGCACAAGGATACTCACTACCATGCACATACACACTACACAATGCAAGACATGCACACACAGGTACAAATACACACTGTGACTGTGACTGTATCTGTCAGTGTGTCTCTGTACATCATGTGTTTGTGTATGTACGTTCATGTCTGTATCGAGGGTATATATGTGCATGTATCAAAGATTATATATGCATGCATAGCTATGTGTGAATCCAAAGTGGCAACATGGCTGCAATATGAGGGTGATATGATATGGGTAATGTCATGGTAATGTGGCAATATTTACAATATACATAGGGATATTTATACATACACACACACAACTAAGACCTGAGTGCAGTTAGACAATGTATAGTGAGAGGATTATAGCATTTGTGAGGAATAAAGTCTTTGTTACATACTGAGAAATATTATTTATTTACCACTCTGCTTTCCTGTTAACTCATTAATTGGCAAATTATTTTTTTAAAGTTTTTCTGTCTAGACAAAATCTTTGTTTTTGGTTTTTATTAATTAATGTGCTATCTAGGCATACTGAAACGAAAAATACATTTACACATTAATTTCCAGGACACACAAAATACTCGGATTCTAGGGGGGTTTTCCTGCAAAGTGAAGGGGTAAAGCCTTTCTGACCAGAACAGAATAAAACTTTGCTGGTACCGATTCCGAAATCCTGGCATCTTAAAAAAATACATGAAGCTTCTGACCAAAGAAGACTAAAGATGGCAGAGGCAAAGGGTAAACAGAGAGTTGGCTATTAACATACACACACACGCAATATATATATATATAAATAAAAATCAAAATGCACTCACAGGTCTTCTGGTTAATAGGAAAACTGGTGCTTTAATAAATCATCAGTGATGTACAAAAAAAATCAATCGACGTTTCGACCCTGCCGGGTCTTTTTCAAGATCTTGAAAAAGACCCGGCAGGGTCGAAACGTCGATTGATTTTTTTGTACATCACTGATGATTTATTAAAGCACCAGTTTTCCTATTAACCAGAAGACCTGTGAGTGCATTTTGATTTTTATTTTTGTTTATATATTTGACGCCAACAATTTGCACCCAGGCATGTGAGTTAAAAATGTATATTTTTTTGGAGGTGAGTGCCAAGCGTTCACCTATATATATATACACACACACACACACACACACACACACACACACACACATTATATACATATATATACACACACATACAGACACGCATTATATATATATATACACACACACACACACACACACATTATATACATACACTTACATTATATAGATATACACACACACACACACTATATATATATACACACACATACACACGCATTATATACATACACATACATTATATAGATATACAAACGCATTATATACATATATATATATATATATTTGTGCTCGGAATCTCTATTATGTTAATGGAATGTAGAGGAGGAGCAAAGTTGGTTGAGGTTGTCCCGAAACCAACATACGAGTAGGCCTGTAAAAAGAGGGCCCACAAAGAGAAATGTGTAAAGGAGGGTGTAGGTGGGCGGGGTCAAAACAGCTTGAACGGCAAAGGAAAGTAGGGGGGTAGGGTTTATAAAGGGTCATAACTCCTCCCACAAATTCAGGCCAAATGGACTTTCAACATATATACACACACATATTATATACATATATACATACATGTCATAGGTTAAGCTCTAACGGTTCCTTTTCACCAGGCTCATTACAGACCATAAGCACGATTGCAAAAATCAATTTTTTCCTAAAACCTTATATACTGGTTCCTTATACTTAGGATTCGTATGTTTTTAGGCTCTACTACATTTCCTTCAAACAGTCTCCAGGAAGTGGTATCCCAGTATCCTGTATTACTGTATCAGGTAAGAAGATTTACCAGTTGCTTTGTCTTCCCCTTGAGGCCTCATTCAGCCTCCACAGCCTCATTCAGCCTCCCCACCCCCCCAACGTGGGTTCTAAACGGGCCAGGGCTAAGATTCTTCACTACGATTTCAACAACAATCACCTAAACCTTACACCACTTTGCTACTACTAATTTTAACGATGCATTGTTTGTCTCTCATTTCTATATATCATTACTTAGACCTGCGTCATTACCGCAGTTTTGCCAAGTTCTACGCCATCAACCACCAACAGCCTACCTGGTATCCTGCATTTCAGTACCAGGTATTGTTAATCTTACTCACTAAGGCCTCACTTCGCCTTCGTATCATTTAAATTTCACAATTGTGGGAACCCAGGGGCTTGTCTCTAATTTCGGACCAACGTTCAGGTCCCTCAGCTTACACAGGTTCTTACGTTACAGTGTCATTGATACACACCTATCCATACGTTCAACATTTTTACACCAGGCATACCAGTGGCACGCCTCAGGCCCACTAGCGTCTATCTTACCCTTAGGATACCTTGACCGGACCTGTTCCCTTAAGAAGCAAGAAGATATATTGAAGTCTTCCTGTGCCTTGTCCAAAGGAATAGGACAAATACTCAAGGTTAGTATCTACATACGGTCAAGTACACCATTCAAAGAGACAAGCCCCATCAGGCATTTAGGTTAGGCACTGGCCTTAGCTATCCTAAGTAAATACACTGGTCCCGTGAGGTCTACTCCCCACCTCAACACGGAGGTTCAGCCCCACGACCAAATCCTAGTTAGCCACCTCGTTCGCCCTTCTTTAGGGCTTCCCATGTCACGGCCACACATTTTGAATCTCTTACGGTCACCGAGAGGCCAACATCCTGCCACCACGTTCAAGTGGCCACGAATTACCTCGGCCCAAACCATAGGTAGAGGCTCTCACCGCCACCTGTCACTTGATTCTAGGTAAATTCTTCACATCGCCACTAGTTAGCAGGCCAGTTCTCCGAAGGTCTCATCCCTACCTCCATGATACCCTACTTATCCAAATTCATTATTCCTGTTTCAGAATGTCACAAGAATCTATCCCAATCATCGATCTGCCGTTGGACGAAATACCCAGCACGGCAGTCAGGCCTGGGTCTCCAGAGGAATCCCTCACCCTTTCTACCACCAGATCCCTGAGATATTGGACCATTCCTAAAATTTCAGCAGAGCTCAGACTCAGGGGTATCCCCTTTCCAGCCAAGGCTAGAAAGGCAGAACTATACAGGCTCCTGACGGCACAGGCCAATGACCCGAGGAATGGCACTAGTTCACAAGGGCCACCAGTTAACAACTCAGATCCCACTCAGAAGACCCTGGCTGCTATTTTGGACAACCTCCAAACGATCAACAACAGGCTGCTGAAAGTGGAATCGGCCATAGCCACACCAGGTGACTTGACAGGCCCTCCCTTGGTGGTCTCTGCTGTACAGACTGGCATACCCCTCATTTCCCTCCCCCACCAGCCACTATCACTGCCCTATACGTCTCACCGGCCCACTCTGTTCCAGCTTCCATAAAGAAGGAAATTCTTGATGGAAAGGATGTTAATCTAGTGTCTCTACTCATAGCCTTCCAAGACATCCTAGAGAACAGAGCTTGTAATTACGGTGACATATCAGTAGTCTTAAAAGCCAGAGATCCACAACTTAATAAGAAACTTTCCATTCCCCAGTTTGTCATCGCCTTTGGCATTTATCGTGTTGTTATCTGCACGGTGTACCCACATAGGACGGAAGAGCTTGATTTATACATGCACAAGGTGGTTGACTTAGGCATCAAGTACGGAGGGTCCTCATTTTATGACTATAACAAATCAGTGTCGGCCGAGGCAGCTACTCATCTGGCACAGTTCAACATAAAAATCGACTGGTGCCAGAACTGTTTTGCCGTCACTTTGCCGGTTTGAGGCCCCTGTCCTGTGCCTCCTGTAGTTCCACTTCTTACTACACCGACTTGTGCCCTTGCGATGCAGACCCTTCCACTTCCACCTCCACTTCTCACCACTCCTTCACCCCACACACAAGCCAGGAAGGCAGGCAGAGAGACAAGCTGGGCAGACCCATTTCATTCCTGGGCAAGGCGCAGGTGTGCAATAACTTTAATGCGGGGGCATGCAGTTACAGTGCATGCGGGTTGTTGCACATCTGCTCCATTTGCTTCAGAGCTCACACCAAGACCATGTGCCTGGCTCGACTGTCACTAAGACATGAGTAACCAGGGTTTACATTGACATCCTGGATTTCTATCTGTATTCACACCCAGTTAGGCATTTGGTAGTTTTTCTGATGACCGGTTTCTCACAGGGGTTTTCACACGTGCCTTATTGCCATCCCCACAGGTATACTTGAATGCCCTAAATCCTATTATCTGCATCCTATGACTCGCTTATGGTGGACCACCTTCTGTCCACAATCAAGGCTCGTATCATGTTCAGCTCTTGCTCATCTTATACAAATACTCCAATAAAAAACGTTTGTTTATTAACCTCACTGCACCTCATTTCTTCCTCCATTCCCAGCATCAACTCTCTCATACCCGCTGAGGAGTTCTCACTGTAATATGCAGGGCCAGATTAAGAGCCCAGTGGGCCTGGTGCTGACAATTCTGACGGGCCTGATTACAGAATCATATCGACCAAAAACAGTAAAACACTCATAAGCATCATGTATCTGATGGAGATGGTGCTGGAGAGAAAGAAAACAGCAGCTATAAGAAAACACATACCCTAGGCTAATCTCTCTCTAATTTATGTTTTCAACTTTCAAGTAAATCCATAACCCCTAACAGCAACGTCCAATCAAGCAGGAAGTCAATGGGCACGATAAAAGGGTTTGCCACTGACACAAATCACGTAACCTGCCAAAACGGGCAAACATGCCCAAAAAGAGGACATTTCTGCTCAAAGAATTAGAAGGCCAGCCTGACATGAATGCATGTCAGGCTGCCTGCCAATCATGCAGCTGGCCAACTAAGGGCATACTATGCAGACAACACCCTGAGCTTGGCATAAATGCATCTAATGATGCGCTCACTCAACGCTTTCTAAGGACTGTCCCCTAGCACTCGCTGGTCCACTTGTCTCCTTACCTTCTTACTAGCAGGCAGAAGATCCTGGTATATGGTCTGGGACAGAGTAAAGCCAAATGTAGTGAGTGTAGAAGAAAGGGAACATGCCACAGTGTTAGAGAGACCAAAGTCAGCATTACCTTAAAGGATCACTATAGGGTCAGGAACACAAACATGAATTCATGACCCTATAGTATTAACACCACCATCTAGCCCCCCCTGGACCCCTCATGCCTCCATAAATATAGCAAAATCTATATTCAAGCCTGAAGCTGTAACTCTGCATGCTGTTAGACTCATAAAAACAAGCAGTCTGCTGACATCATTAGAAGTGGTGGCCTGATCCAATCACAGTGCTTCCCCATAGGATTGGCTGAGACTGACAAAGAGGCAGATCAGGGTCAGAGCCAGTATGATTCAAACACAGCCCTGGCCAATCAGCATCTCCTTATATAGATGAATTTCATTAATGAATCTCTATGAGGAAAGTTCAGTGTCTGCATGCAGAGGGAGGAGACACTGAATGTTTGGATGCATTTTAGGCAGCCATGACCCAGGAAGGATCTCTAACAGTCATCTAAGGAGTGGCCAGTGAAGTTATCACTAGGATGTAATGTAAAGACTGCATTTTCTCTGAAAAGACAGTGTTTACAGCAAAAAGCCTGACGGTAATGATTCTACTCACCAGAACAAATTCAATAAGCTGTAGTTTTCTGGTGACTATAGTGTCCCTTTAACTATATTCATTGTCAGCCAGTCCACACAAGTTTTGTTCCCATACATCCCACTTAAGTTTCCATACTTAAGTAAGAGTATGTGAAAAGTAGTTAGAGTTGCCACCTTTCTTGGAAAAACATACCGGCCTTACTAATTTGCATAATTAAATATGTATGGATGACATCACATGATGTAAATCACAAGGAGTGATATAAGAGAAAATGCTGTAAAATCACCAAAAAACTACTTAGTTTGATTCTGCTGTATAGATGGATTCCTCCCAGTGCCCCCATGTCTCCCAGTGCCCTCATGACTCAGTGCCCCCATGTGTCGATTACTCCAGGTCTGTGTTCCTATGTATCAGTGTCTCAGTGACCCATGTCTCCCAGTGTCCCTTAGTGTCTGCCATAATGTCTCCCAGTGTCCCTTAGTGTGTCAGTGTCTGCCATATTGTCTCCCAGTGTCCCTTAGTGTCTCAGTGTCTGCCATAATGTCTCCCAGTGTCCCTTAGTGTCTCAGTGTCTGCCATAATGTCTCCCAGTGTCCCTTAGTGTCTCAGTGTCTGCCATATTGTCTCCCAGTGTCCCTTAGTGTCTCAGTATATGTCTCCTTGCAGCCTTTCCCCCATCCCTTACTTCCCTGAGCTGTAGGCTGTCTCTGCAGGGTGGGAGTTGCTGTCTGGACTCTCTGTAGCTGCACCCCTGCAGAGCAGTGAGTATAGATAGGCAGGGAGAGATATGCTGGAACTTCCTATCCCTGCCTGTCTCCACACACAGCGACCCCTACTGGCCAGTGCTGGTATTGCAGAGTAATCTCTTGTTTATACTGATAAAAAATACCAGCATTTGTATTGCCAGTATAACTGCAATATTGGCACCGCCAGGCAGCCCCAAATACTGGCTGTGCCAATAAAATAAAAGCCAGATGGAATCCCTAAGAGTAGTGTGAAAAAAAAAAAAATTTTTTTTAATTTTTTTTTTTTTTTTAAATCAATGGGCCTATTCCATGGGCCTGGGCCTGGAGCTGCAGCTCCATCAGCCCCTATGTTAATCCGGCCCTGGTAATATGCCAAAATTGACGACGCCATGCAAGCTACTATCTCAGCAGGTAGTAAGGCATGGTTAAGCAAGACAGGTATAACCAGCGCCTTTAAACTGCTATCCATTCACCCTTCACTACGGCACTTGTACGGTGTTAAATGGAGGGATAAGTATTTTTTCTCTACCCGGCTCACGTTCAGGTCTAGGAGCAGCCCAAAGTTATTTGACATCATCACAGAAACCATCTGCGGGCTGCTCCTAAACATAATCAGGTGTCCGTCAGTTAACCACTATCTGGACGGTTTTTGTTGCTTGTACCAGGCTCACATACACCCAGCAGTAGTCACAGCTTCACATCCCTTTTCATTACACTCAGGGTCCCTCTGTCACCAAGCAAATGCTTGGTCCCTCTACCAAGCTCGTTTTCTTGGGCATAGTCTTAGACACCACAACTTTTCAAGCCAGCCTACCACCAGAGAAACTGACTCACATTAGGGACGAAGTTGTCCTGTTCCTACAGAGTGTTGCGTGTGCAGGGTAGGGACTTTAGTCCTCACTGGGGTCCCTTGTCTTAGCGATACATATCATTCCACGGGGTGGGTCTTTTTGTCTCTAAGCTACTTCTTTCGCTCCATGGGGAGCCCGACTCCTGCCCAATCATTCAGGACGATCCGGCCAGGGCAGGTTTACACACGTGGAGTAGATTCCAGGCCTAATGGTACAGGGTCTCTTTGTTCATTCCACCACTTTCAGAGCTCTCACCCACAATTTAAACAGACACAGCAGCACACACAGGGTTCGCAGCCATTTTGGCAACCACTGGTTAGGGATTACTGGCCCACTGAGACGGATGCCTTGCCAGCCTTTAGAGAAACATTCACATTGTTTCATATCCCTGGTGTCCATAACACAGCTGCTGACGCTCTTTCACGCTCTCAATTTCAGGTCTTCTTCCAGGCACCCCCTTAGGCCCACCATCTACCATCCAGGATACCACCACCGTACCACGAGCTAATCCTGGATTAAGCTTTTTCACCCAACACCACTATCACTTACGCTAGGGCACTGACTATTTTTAACAAATTCACTGCAGAGTTTTACTTACAAGGAGACGTTTCCATTAAAACTATGGTGGCTTTTGCCTCCTTCTGTCACCTACACCTTAAATTATCACACAATACCATTAAACTCTACCTTACCGGGGTACAACACCATGTCCTCCCAACCTTCCCTAATCACGCACCTTTCTTAACTTCCTACCCTATCAAGAAAATTCTCAAGGGTATTTATAAGGTTACAGTTCCCCCTGGCACTACCAGATTACTGATAGATGGGCCCATATTTAGGCTTCTAAGCGACCTACTGGACAAATCCCCATTTGACCGTAATACAAATCTGGTCATTAAATCCGCCCATCTTTTTGGCTTTCTACGGTTTCCTCAGACCTAGTCTACATAGTCTTTCTACAGTATCACAGTCAAACGTCAAGGAGATACTGCTCTATGCCTTAAACTTTCTCACCTAAAGAAAGTAGAAGACCACTACATTCTTTCATTACCTTCTACCAAAACCAATCACACTGCTTATCCAACTATCATTCCCCTCTTCCCTACCGAGAATCTTTGGTGTCCAGTAAATATACTGGATATACTCCTGTTGCCTCACCACACGCACTCACCAGAAACTCCACTATTACTACTCCAAGGGCACCCACTCACCACAGCTAAATTCATTTCTCATGTCAGAACCCTACTATCAAGGTTGGGCTACAACCCAGCTTCCTTCTCTGGTCACTCATTTCGTATAGGCGCAGCATCATCAGCTTCAAGCTCTAATACCCCAGTCCACATCATTAAGAGACTAGGACACTGCAAATCCTCAATTTACAATACTTATATACCTCGACCAGAGAGGGAGCTTCGACAAGTTTTCAGAAATCTTGCAATAAAGTGTGTTTACTCTGAATCCTCTTTTTGCCCTCTTTTTATTACAGGCCTACATGTACATTGGTTTCGGCACACCTCAACCAACTTTGCTTCCCCTTCTACATTCCATTACGTATTAGATAAATTCCGAGCACAAGTTGGAAGGCCATTTGGCCTGAATTTGTGGGTGGAGTTATGATCCTATATAAACCCTACCCCCCTACTTACCTTTGTCTTGCAAGCCGTTTGTCCCCACCAACCTACACCCATCTATATTAACAATTCACCTTTGTGGGCCCTCTTTTACAGGCCTACTCGTATGTTGGTTTCGGCACACCTAAACCAACTTTGCTTCCCCTTCTACATTCCATTACGTATTAAATTCCGAGCACAAATATATATACACACACACACACACAAATTATATAGATACACACACACGCATTATATTAATATATACACACACACACAAATTATATAGATACACGCACACGCATTATATTTATATATACACACACACACACACATTATATAGATACACACACGCATTATATACATATATATACACAAACACACATTATATAGATACACACACACACACACACACATTATATATAAATATATATACACAAACACACGCACTATATACACACACATATATATATATACACACACACACACACACACTATAGAGATACACACGCGCGTTATATACACACTCACACACATTATATAGATACACAGACATGCATTATCTATATATACACACACACACAACAAAATAACACACACAGCCATATTATATGTATAGACATATTGGCACAGAGAATGAAACAACTTGAGCAAAGATATTCTATGAAATTCTGCAATATCGGCTCGGTTCATTGTATATGGCACTCAGATAATATTCCTCACCTTGTACAGAGCTCACGTCAGAATCAGCCACTTGTGTAATGGAGAAGCGGGACGGGGGGGTTGGAGACACACTAAACCTGGAGAGTTGCACAGATGGCGCTGGTTTTTGGAGGGGAACAGGGACAGGGAGGCTGTGCACTTCGGAACTCAGCATAGCTGGCGACAGTGAGGTGACAAATACGGTTTTCACGGGTGTGACGGGCAAGTCAGAGTCCCATTGTAATGTTCCACCTGCAAACAAGGAAACCGTATGGAGTGAGCAATGTGGCACTTCCCATCATACTTTACAGACCTCTCTGTGTTAACCCCAGACCAGGCCTCGAGCTACACAATTAGATAAAACATTTACTTGTTTCCTGTGCGATCCCAGGCCACGCTTTGACATGGGAATGTAATGACTTGCTATAAGAGTGCTAGTAGGATACTGCCACCCAGGGGTAGTGGGAGTTTAAGTGCAGGACTTATTTTTGTGTATTTATACTAGTAAGGTACAGGTTGAACTTACTCTCTTCTAAAAGGTGGGGGTCTACTGTTTCCTTGTGTGGGCTCTGCTCCCCCGCTCTCTGTGCAGCGCTGGGCCCGTTATCTGGAGTTGTGTTGGGGAAATCCTGTTCTGCCAGTTCCCTGGTCGGACTCTCCTAAACACAAACGTAGAACACAGTAAGAGTTAAAAAGTTGATAGACAGACAGATATTTGAGCATGTTGAACGAGCATGTTGGAGCATTTCTGGGGACATCTCTTCCCCGCTGACTTACTGATTTCTGGGGACCTCTCCTCCCCTTCTCCTCTGACTTACTGGTTTCTAGGAACCTCTCTTCCCCACGACTTACTGGTTTCTGGGGACCTCTCTTCCCCAGGACTTACTGATTTTTGGGGACCTCTCCTCCTCTGACTTACTGATTTCTGGGGACCTCTCCTTCCCTTCTCCTGTGACTTACTGATTTCTGGGGATCTTGAAGGAGGAAAAGAAACATTGTGTCTGCTCTCTCTGTGCTAACTGACAGGTACAAATGGTGGAGCTTCTAACAATGATTGACTCCAGGGAGCTAAGATGGAGGTGCCCAGATGTAGGATGAGAATTTCTAAATTTAATTCTATTTTTTATAGATAAGTTACATAGTATTCCTAGTATTCCTGGGAAGTTACACTGATTATCAATCTCTTGTTTAACTGCTTGTAAAAGCAAAAGCATCTAAAAATGAAGATTTGTTTAAAAGTTTAACATACAGAGATACAATCATACGTTGGTCATCTACCTTTAATAATGAACTAACCTGATCAAACAAGTAGACAGTGACGTCATCGTAGAAAGAGACTGCTTTCTTTTTCCGATCGACCTCTGGACAGTGGGTCTGGGGCACAAAGTTGGGCAGCTTTAGAAGGCTGCGGAGGTGCCCAGAGCTGCCATTTTCAGTGATGATTATAGGCACAGCCCCGTGTTCCTCCTCGCTCTCCTCACTGTGTTCCTGGATGTTATAGCAGCGAAGCTCTTCATCTGATTCATCACTGTCATCACTTTCTTCATCCTCATCCTCATCTTCTATAGTTGGAGACTCACCAATCCGGCCCTCCTTTCGAGGAAGTGGAGGAGAGAGGCATTTTGAAAGATGGGTGGCTCCGTGGGCTTCTCTGTGTAAAGATATCGCCTTTTCTTCTTGTAGCCCAGTGGTGAGGGTAATAATGCCTGATGCCCCTTGTTTGACAGAACATCCTTTGGTCAAGGAAATCTGCACAGGGGACAATGTGAAGGTACTGTGAGGGGCAGACTCTACCGTTGATTGGGGACTGGGTGCCTTATCCAAAGAAGATTCTTTGAGGGATTCCATGCCTAAGCCTTCATCTACAGAATCCTCTCTAACTAAAGAGTCAGGCTGCAAAAGTGAATGATCTTTTGGCACAGGAGATGGTAGTAGAGGTGACAAAGTCCCCAGGGAACACTGGCTTTCGGTGACTGTAACATCACTTTTTAGTTCAGTTTTGGAATAAGGAAAACTTTCTGCTAAATGGCAGTCTAGAGGCTGTAACTCCAGGTTAACGCTTGTTGGATCACCAGGACATTCTTTGTGTACTTCTTCCACTTCCTGATCTTTTCCTTCCTCGTCCTCATCCTTTGTAGAAGACTCGTAGTCTGAGAAGTATGCCGAGTCTCTGTAAGGGTTTTTGGCATCCAGACTTTGTAATTCACTGCTTACTGACCGTGAAATTGACATTTCTCCAGGACCCAAACCATGTTCTTGGGATTGACTTAGTTGATAATAAGGCTCGGTATCCCTGCTGTCCTGCGGTTCCTTTTGCACAAATTCTGGGGACTCGTAATTTTCAGTGTCATATCCACTGTCTAGAGCTTTGGGCTGCCCACATGGAGCATAGGATCCAAGGCTGAAGGCTTCACAGGAGCTTGCAGTTGACGGCATGTCTAAGGAATCCAAGGAATCTGGGGTCCCTACCTGCTTCTGCAAAGATCTAAAGGATTGAACTGTGTCACCTCTCTCATTGGACAAGTCAGTGAAGACTCCGGAAGTCACTTCCATTGTGTCCTCATCGTCACTGTCACTCTGTATATGATAGGAGTCTGTGAGAGGAGGTTTATCTGGGGTTTCACTTTCTTTGCTGGGTGAAATACACAGATCATTTATCCCCTCTGATGAAATGTTTGGACATAATCCTTGAGGGAAGGGAACCGAAACTCCCTGTTCTGAGATGTCAATGGTGTGTGTAGGTTCCGGCAAAATACGAGGCTCACAGAGCCATAATAAAGTAGCACCAAGCGGATCCATGCCTTGATTCAAGTCTTTGACTGCATTCATTGGAGAAAGCAATGAAACATCTGTGTGTTCTACACAGAAAGTGCTAGATTCAATCTGCCCAGCTTCTGCTGTAGAAGGAGAAGCTTCAGTGTCATGTTGTCGGTCCAGCCATACTGAGCATTCCTGCCCAAAATCAGTCACCTCACCGTTTGATAATTGGTCACTTGTTTCTTCAAGTGAAGGACTGACATTTTCGATATCACTAGACTCCATGTTCTGCCAGGATTCAGGACCATATGGCTCAGTGTCTGCCAGTTGGGATTCCTCAGTGCGGCGGTTGCACCATGTGTCAGCATTGTGGCCTTGTGGTGCACTGGAGATGTTATTGTTGGACGAGGCATTTGACGCCCAGTGTGGGGAAAAGTTAGTGAGCCGAGAAGTCATCCCAAACAGTTCTCCCTGAATATCAGTATGTGGGCTTACTTCTTCGTTTTGTACTGTGATAGAATCTAGATTTGAGCTGCATTCTTTCTGCCGTTTCTCTTCAGTTTCTGATCTGTCTACAAGTGCCAACTTTGCAGTGTCCAAACGAGCCTGGCACAGTTGGCTCAGACATGGTGAAGCCCCAAGAGGGTCAATGAATCCACCAGCTTCACAACTCTCTGCCTCCAATGGGTCAACATGAAGCTTCTCTTGTGACCCAGCTTCTCCAAAAGGTTCGTAGTTCTGTTCACTGTGCTCACTGGCTGGTTCCTGATCACCTGCAGCAGAACACATGGCTTGTCCCAGGAGAGGCTCCATGGACAATGAAATAGAAGGGCTATTTCCAAAGGAACCGTTTCTTTCACAACCCCCCTTATCTTTTACAGATAGCCCCCCATTTGGTGAAATGTCATGTTGAGGAAGGCTGCTGTTCACTGGCTCCTCAATACGAATATAATAGTCTCCAGCAACTGAAGGGCTACGGGCACTTAGAACAGGTACCACTTCAAGAGGTCGAGAGCTGGAAATGCATTCTTTGTTCTCGTAACACGATGGAGAAACACCCAAGCTCAGTCTGTCCCCTGTGCTTGGTGTATAGTACATATCTTGGTAGGGTGGGCACCCTGGACTCAGTGGGTACTGCTCATGTCTCCCTCGTTCCCACTTATACTCAAAGTTGAGCCCCTGACTGGTCTGGGTAACTGTTAATACATCATCACCATCCGAATGGAATCCATCTGAAGAGAAATGCTCCAGCAGAGGGTAAGAGGAAAGTTCAGACTCATGATGTCCTCCACTACCAGCTCCACCATTGGGCTTCATGGAGTTCCAGCGCTTCTCAAACTCCTCCTCCAGTTCGCTGGCTCCCTTCACGCTTAAGTAAGAAAGCAGAAGGTGGACCTCCTCGGCCGTGGGTCTTTGATCAGGCTGAAGCCAGCAGAACTGCATCACCTCGAACCTGCAATCACAGACACAATCAGTAAGTAAGTCGTCACGAAGAAGGAATTCTCTGGTGTGAAATCCCTGCTCTTTGCACAGGTAGCTCTACAGTGATATTTCCGATGTGTTTCTCTGCGTTAAATCCCCAGTGTGCTCTTTTCCAAGCTAATAAACCTATAGTGTACAACGTATGTCTTTACAGTTAAATCCCAATGTGTTTGTTTTTTCCTTCTGGTAAACATGCAAAGAATAAGAACCGATTACATGGTAAAGGCCAGTTTCTCTGTGATATCATTTAACGACAGTAAATCTATCCATCCATCCAAGCTGTAAGTTTGTTGTGTGATCCATGTTTGATTGGAATTAGATTGCTGAACATATTCTTAAAAAACAAAGAGGATTATTCACCAAATCAGAAATTTTGGATAATTGGCAGGGGGATTATACATTACAGGTAAAAAAAAAAAAATTTACGAATCTACAACATTTTTTTTTTTAATTACATTTGCAATTTCCCTGTCACTTAATAAGGAATTAGTCTGCGGTGTCCTGCAAACAGATGGAAGAATTGTGTTTTTAATTTGGTGGATGCCTGCGCAGTGTAAAGCTGCGTGTATCTTTAATTATAGATACGCTATAATGCTTAGCACTGCGTCACAGCTGTAAAGTGAGGTGGTGTGCGCGGAAACAATCAACAGACACTATTCGCATTCTCTCAATGCTCCTGTACATATCTCATTTCAGGAAAATAATAGAACCGTCAGCAGCCAAATAGCTACTTAAAGTGCAATGTTTTTCTACCTTTAGCTTCTGTTAAATAATAATAAAGGTATTTTATAATCTGCCGTGTGCCTCTGGCAAATCACCTGTCTGCATGCAAGCCTCGTGTTATATTGCTGTGATAGAGCTGCGCTGAACACAACTTAAAAAAAATACATATATTTTTGCTAACTAATCCCCCGTGTGGATGTCTGGAATAACAAATTAACCTGTCTCCTCTTTAAAGTAAAAAAAACAGTTTAAAAGTCAACGTAATGAAACTTAAACTGTTGTTAAACTTCAAATTCTTCAGTGATGATGGAACTTGTAGTCCAACAATGCCCAGAAGGATAGCGTTTTCCCAGATCAGAGTGGTGTCAGTAGTTGTCATGAGTCGGGTGTAAAAATGCATTTTAAGGAACGTGTCCAAATAACATTTTTGGAAATTGTCGAACGAATTGAATTGTTTCACCTGTTGAATGTACAGGTGAGATCGATTTGGAATCGATTAATTCCTTTATAAATTAACAAAAATGTTATTAGAACAAATAGCTTGAAACTAAGTCCAGTTTCCGTGGCCAGCTGCCAGCTCCCAGTCTATGATGGGTACTCGTTACTCACCATCGGTCTGAAAGCAGCTGCTTGAGCTGAGGCTTAGGTAGTTTAAGCTGCTGTTCCTTGATAACATAGCACAGAACCTGCCGGTCCGAGTACTCTTCGTATGGCTGACGACCCAACTCAAAAAGTTCCCACAAAGTAACGCCAAGCGACCTGCGAAGGTAAAGGGAATAGTTACTGTGGGGTAAAGCACATCCAAGCAATGTCCTATTCGTGGGGCCAAACAGAAGAGACCTCATAATGATACAACTTACGGAATGTCTACATCTGTATCGTAACCATGAAACATAAACCTGACCCCCCCCATTAGTGTCCGATTGTGCATTCATCCACGGAACTGTCTGATCATTCACAGGTCACTCAATCTTCTCTTGTTTCAACCAACATGAATCACTCACCCTGAGCTTCTCGCTCCCATGATTCAATGTCACACTCAATTCTTTATTTACCTTGCTTCCAATGGACCCAGATCACCCACCCCCCATCCTGCCGCCTTACAATATCTATATTTAATACTGGCTGCAGCATTAGCCGGATTACTGTATATTGTGAATGGTGCTGACTTTCTTAGCCTCCTAAAGTCAGAGGTCTCTATAAGACATCACTGTGCAGGTGGTGAGGCTAAGGCATTCTCGCCCGGCCGTTAACGTGGCTGTTTGGGTCCTATACCTCGGAACCACACCCTACATCTTCCTGAGCCGATCCCTCATTACTGCCAGCTGGTATTTACAAACCCACAGCACAGCTTAAGTGCAGCTTTCAGAATATAAACATTATAAGGAATAAAGTTAAAAGCTGCATTTATCTGCGCAGAAATGCATTAATGTGAGAGCCCATTGTGGAGGGTCAGAATAGAAAGAAAAAAACCTAACAAACAAACATGCTTTCTGCCACAATTTACATAAAAGAGACAGACATTGAGAGAACATGACAGCAGGTTACGCACCAACAACTGAAGAGAAGAGAGAAGGAAATACAAGGTTATTCTCACCAGATATTGCTTGTTTTGGTCTGGTCCACCACAAGTAGGTTCCCATGTACCTCGTCGATGAGTTCTGGCGCGATCCAGCGCAGTGGCACCCACAGCTGGTCCGATGTTACGAGGTAATCATCCTGCCAGGCATAAACACAGCTAGTTGCTCAGCTTCAGCTACAAGCTCCCCTGCCGCTTCCTCTCCCCCCTCCCTGAAGATCAGCAGACGTCTGAGTCACCCTGACGGAGAGAGGTTAGAAAGTCCCCTCCTCCCCCTTGGGGCAGAGACGTGCTCTGAACTTGGAGAGTGCCTAGTTCCCCCTTTACTCTGTTTAATACGGGCAAGCTCAGTGCCTACTTTGGCACCGACCGGGGACAGCTGGCACAGTGCCAAGGTGTTTGGTTACAAACTGCAGAATGTGTGTAACATAGTAACAGGAAGGATGGTAAACCCCACTACCCATGGGCAGCACTGCTTGGCATCGATAAAAGGCCGAGGAATGCAGAATGATAGGTTAAACTGATTGCTGTATGGCTGGTACTCACATCTTTACTTGCAGCATTCTATTTACTAAGAAAGATGCAGTGAGTGACAGTGCTGTACACACAGCAGGTAGACTGTACCAGGCACTCGGAGAGCAGTACAAGTGACATGGAAAAAGGTAGCAAGCAGGGATGTGACAAGGTTAATCCCATCATTTACGCAAATGCAGGATTCAACAGCCCCCAATCTGCTCTTCTCCTAAACACCAGCTTGAAGGATTAGAGCCTCTCTTACATTCACACAATAATGTTTGGGACCAAGCAGCTTACAACTCTGCATGGAGGCTGCTCCATGTACACACTACGCTTTCAACAAACTGCTAGTTCTATATCTAAATATCTCAGGACTGATATAATGTCTTAATACAGCAAGCAATGTCATACAAAACATGATGTGACGCACAACTTGACGCTACAATTGTTGTAGTGCCAGAAGGAGCAGAATCCCTTTCCCTTCTGGCACTGTAGCTCCTACCAGGTACAGCAAGCCATGTAAAGCTGAGGCTGATGGAATTTGAAACCTAACCACAAGTGCATTTGCCTGTGCTTGCACACAGCTACTCAGTAAACTGAGTACCCTTACTGCTAAGGTGCATTACAAATCAAGAGTAATAATTTTGTATAGCTCCAACATATTCCACAGCGCTGTGCTTACCCGGTACTTGGAATGTGCCAACCCGTAGTCACCAATTTTCACAGTCAGATCAGCAGTTAGGAGGCAGTTTCTCAGAGCAAGGTCACTAAGCACAGCAAGGGGGGAGAGGCAGAATTAGATTTGATTACGGAGAGGTTCCTAACAGACATATATTAATACAGGACGATTGCTCTTTCTAACCGTTTGAGATACGCACAAAAACAAAAAGGAATTCTGAGTCACATTGCAGGAAAGGGGCTGTAAGTAGCCCGCCCCCCCATTTAGCCCTGACAGTATAATCCACTTATAACCTAGGCAACTACAAGTCTTTTCATATTACGGCTCCGCAGCCATAGTAGATTAGAAGGATCTCTCTCTCCCTCTGACGGCAGGATTTTATTTTGTTTGCAGGCTGGGATGTTCATCTCCGAGTACACCGTCCCAAGACAAATATCCTGGAACAGTCTGTCCTAGACCATCTTCTGCCCCATGGCACGCCAAGCCTTTCAACACACAAAAGCATGTTCCCTGCTGTCTGTGCCAGCGGCTCGCAATGACTGTGTAATTAAGAGCAAAGCGATACGTCCTGGCCTCACCTGTGTCTGGCTAGGTTAAGATGGTGGACTCTCTGCAGCTTGGCAACCCAGGCGTTCACAACGTGGAGTGCATTAACCCATTCATTACCAGAGCTCTACACACACTCAGATTTTTCTATGCATTTACTTCTAAACAGACACCAGACACAGGGAGTTGTTTGCTTGTTTTTTAATTATTGCAGGTTTTTAAGCATCTATAAATCAGAAATAGCCCAGCTGTGACTGAAGCAAAGTTGGAAAATTTTTCCAAGTCAGATTTTCTGGACAAACTTTTGAAATTCCTTACAATGTATGATTTAGTGAATAAACCCAAGAGAGTTTCCTTAACATAAATATAATGTGTTTAATCTAAAACTCTGTCAATTCTCCCCGACACACTGCCCGCTAAACCCAAACAGTCTGCCCATTCTCCTCGACACACTGCCCGCTAAACCCAAACAGTCTGCCCATTCTCCCCAACACGCTGCCCGCTAAACCCAAACAGTCTGCCCATTTTCTGACACACTGCCCGCTAAACCCAAACAATCTGCCCATTCTCCCCAACACACCGCCCGCTAAACCCAAACAGTCTGCCCATTCTCCCTGACACACTGCCCGCTAAACCCAAACAACCTGCCCATTCTCCCCGACACACTGCCCGCTAAACCCAATCTGCCCATTCTCCCCGACACACCGCCCGCTAAACCCAAACTGTCTGCCTATTCTCCCCAACATACTGTCAGCTGAACCCAAACAGTCTGCCCATTCTCCTTGACACACTGCTGCTAAACCCAAACAGTCTGCCCATTCTCCCCGACACACCGCCCGCTAAACCCAATCTGACCATTCTCCCCAACACACTGCCCGCTAAACCCAAACAATCTGCCCATTCTCCCCGACCCACCGCCCACTAAACCCAAACAGCCTGCCCATTCTCCCCAACACACTGCCCGCTAAACCCTGTCTGCCCATTCTCCCCGACACACTGCCTGCTAAACCCAAACAGTCTGCCCATTCTCCCCAAATCCTGTAGATTCCATCTTAAAAACATAGCCCGCATCCGCCCCTTTATTACGCAAGATGCTACCAAGGAGCTTGTCCATGCTCTAGATTGGTCTTCCCAAAAGCCGTACTGCACCGCTACAGTCCATAATGAACGCTGCTGCCAGGCTGATTTTCCTCTCTAGTCAGTTCTCTCACACCTCACCCCTCTGTCAGGCCTTACATTGGCTTCCTGTATCCTATAGGAGTCAATTCAAGGCACTAATTTACACCTATAAAGCACTGACCAATTCTAGACCCTCATATCTCCTCACAGATCCACAGGTATGTCCCTTCTCGGTCTCTCCGCTCTGCCCGTGACTACCTCCTGTCCGTTGTTCGCACCCGTACGGCCAACTCAGGCTTGCAGGACTTCTCGCGGGTGGCTCCCTTCCTATAGACTAGCCTGCCTACCGCCATCAGACTCTCCCCTAGTCTTGCATCTTTTAAGAAGTGCCTTAAAACCCATCTTTTTAGGAAAGCTTATGGCCTCCCAGAGTAACCTCTACCTCACATACCTGTCTCTTGCTCTCTCCTAAAGAGCAGCCCACCTTATTTGACTGCAAATTCCTGTCCTATTGTGTTTTTTTACCCCACCTCCTATAGAATGTAACTATAGTTTGAGCAGGGTCCTCTTCAACCTATCGTTTCTGTAAGTTCTTTGTAATTGTCCTATTTATAGTTAAATCCCCCCTCTCATAATATTGTAAAGCGCTACGGAATCTGTTAGCGCTATATAAATGGCAATAATAATAATAAACCCAAACCGTCTGCCCATTCTCCCGACATATATTGATTGATTGATAGCAAAGTCCCACATTTTACTGTAAAATTCTGTAGCGAAATCGGTCAGAGCAGTAGGTAATCATTTTGACTATCTGTCCCATTGATCTTTCCTGTGATTCTCTTTTTTACACGAGTGAAATGGGTGAAAACAGGGACAGTAAGTGCTCCCATTGTCTCTTATCATAGTTTGTATTACTGATTAGCTCTTTCTTATTCACAGATACAAAGAATGTACACATCTAATGTACATAATAAATCTAGTCATAAATAAATTAATACCAGCAGATATTACCAGGCAAAAATACAATGTCATTTCACACATAATGGACTACTCAACAGAAAATAAGAAAATGACTGCATTTGGTATTATTATTATTTTTTGCAGCGTTCCTCCATTTTTCACTCTTTAAAGATCAACTGAGGGCTATGTGACATGCCTTTACCTTAATATCTGCATTAAAAAGAGTTTATCTTCTGGGCACACAGACAACCCACTATTTTGTTGATTTTGTTTTAAGCCAGTGGTCAATAATTTTAGTATTTTGTTTTGCCTGATTAAATGTCTCCTATTATCTTGGTTAAGTCCACTAACGTGTGCAGAGACCGCACATGCGCAACACAGACAACACAGGTTGCCAGGCAGAACTGATTGTCTAACAAAACCAGCGAACAGCTCGTACAGCTACTAGGTGAAGATCTGGGGTTCACCAAAGTCACAAGGGACTCATTACTAACCATTCATAGTACTTATTTGTGTGACTGTGGTTATAAAATAGAAATCCCCCTCCTCAGCCCTACCACCGCAGGGCATTGGGCCATCATAGATCTTCGATCAAGTGGTTTTACTCCACTCTGCATGTGCTGCAGTCATTAATGGACTGATAGGAGCTGATCTACAGATATGCGCGAGCGAGATACCTGTATATCCTCATTCTTTACTCTGCTCGCAGGTACGGATTCTATTCCTGTGTCTCTGTTTATTTTAATAGTTGCTCTAGGCTTCAAAGCTTCCGTTCTGAGCTCAATATTTTATATTTCATATTGGTGATTATTTTTATTGGTATCGAGGATTCAATCATTAGATGTTACTGTCCAATCCCGTGCACTGATGAAGATGACGAAGGAAGGATTGGACCTGATTATTAACACCTCACTCCACGCCACACAGAGTTTGGGAAGAGGGGAGTTCATTCTACAGTTTTCCTGTTTAATGCCAAGAAAATCCACACCTTTAAGGTCCTGAACCCCCCAGACCTGTCCCAGTTCTTGGGAGTCTCAGGGACCCCTGCTCATTTATTTATTTAGGAGGAGCCAAATTATGAATCCAAACTTCAAATATAATGTTTCTGAGCCTCACAAAACAATGTTTAATTACTTAAGTTTGACAAAAGCTGTATAACGGATAAAAACATTTATATATATATATATATATATATATATATAGTGCAAATGGAAAGCCTGTGTATCACTGCATGATTTAAACATGAACAGAAATCAATCAGTTTTAGGAGGGAAACATAAACCATAACGAGCAAAAAAGTCCCAGTCACCTTCACCAGTCACTATGCGATAAGAGGGCCTACCATCACGTTTCTGATAAATATAGTATCAGATCTACTTCTGCATTGCTACACTGTATCAATAAATTGCATTTTACTTTTTTCTGTTTCAAAGAATCTTACAAAAGACAAAACTATAATGTTTAGTGATTAACAGAGGTTTTAAAGGGTATTTTAGTGAGTAGCATCAATCAAAAAGCTGTTATTGTGGTACACATAGACAAGATTCCCCCCTAAAGCCATTCATGTGCTATGGACCTCGGCTGAAGCTAAGAAGAACTTTAAGGGTCAAAATGGAGACGGCTAAGAAATAAAATGTGCAAAAAGGACTGTCAGGGATACGGACCGATTGTTAGATTGAGAGATAATAGTGATTTATTATCATTGATGTTAATTGCTGACTGCATGGAGGTCCAGCTGGTTCCCTAGGGGCCATGATCCTCTACGTTATGTTATGGTTTAATAATTATACGATAATTAGCTTGTATATAACACAAAGCAATGTGTGTGTCTGCTGCCTTAAAAAATCCGATTTGTACAGCATTGTATTAATAAACAAGTCTTATCAAAGACATTTCCTCTAACTGAAACCTCATTAATCCCCTCTGTCACCTTGATGAACAGACCCACCTTACAGAATGCCCCTTATTGGTAGCAGTATTCTGTTATTTTCAATGGTATTTCTAAACTAAACACAAGTGAAAATGTGAAATATAGAACAAAAAAAAGCAGGGAAAGGCAAGGAGAAATGAAAAAGACAGAGAACCCGTCCGTCGAAGTTAGGACAGAATACAAACGATCTACTTAGCACACAGAAGAGAGATACGACTTTAGAGACTGGTTGAAGAGTATCAGAGAGTGTCCAGGGCTTGGTGAATGGATGTGGCTTGGTGACAACAGATACATGGACAGAGATCGCTGACGTGACGGGTGTCAGATGACGGGTGCACGCTTCCATCCGTGGGACCAGGAGCTGTGAGTGCCGCCTGCAACAAAATCACTGATGCTGGAGCTTCTATGTCCCACTCATTCAGCATCAGGATATTGTTCCAGGGGACAAACCGAGAGAGGCGCCCAGAGATGTGTATCTGGAGTAAGTGGCGAGGGGAGCAGGTGACAGGGATAAAATGCTGAGGCTCCAGGAGGGGAAGGAACTTTATCAGACACGTGGAGAAGGAGGGTCGTACATCAGAAGTCACTATGCTAAATGACACAAGTAATCGCTTCTAGAAATGTATTGATTGCTAGAGAGATGTAACACAGGATCATGGACCTACCTCACCCAACATCATCCCTCTTTCTTACCTGTGGGTGTAGTTATTCTTGTGTAAGTGCAGCAGACCAGAGCAAACCTCACAGCCCATCCTCTGTAGTGTCAGGGGGTCGGGGGCAGTGGACTCAGTGGCTGCACAGCTCTGCAGGTAGCCTTTCAGATCTCCCTAGACATAATCAGATGGTTAGGGTCGAACTGAAATCTCTTTCCACATCCCCCAATGAATTATATGTTTTACATTTCGTATAAAACCAAGCCACATTATAAGCATTAGTGGTTATAAAGGTTTTACAATATAAATAATCAACGTTAAAATAGAACTTGGTCTTTGAAGCAAATATTTGCTGTTCAGTTATTTAATCCTGTAGAACAGGGGTTCCAAACCCGTCCTCACGGCCCACCAACAGTCCAGGATTGACGTATTTCCCTGTTTTATTCCAATGGAGATACAGACAAAACCTGGGCTGCTGGTGGGTCTTCGGGACTGGTTATGGAAATATTGCTCTAGAAGGTCCGCTGGAAGAATTACAGACTGTCAATTAAACATAAATTCCATGTTTTCAACAAATATGTTAAGAATACATATATACATTCTAAAGTACAGATTTGTTTTGGTGAATGTTATTACAGTTAGCATGCATTTGACTGTTTAAGCTGATAAAACATCGACGTTTGATAGCTGTGTTCGTTATAATCAGGACTTGAGTGCAAAGAATCGCCATGATAATGTGAGTTTGTACTATCCTTAAAGGGACACTATAGTCACCAGAACAACTACAGCTTATTGAATTAGTTCTGGTGAGTAGAATCATTACCTTCAGGCTTTTTGCTGTAAACACTGTCTTTTCAGAGAAAATGCAGTGTTTACATTACAGCCTAGTGATAACTTCACTGGCCACTCCTCAGATGGCTGTTAGAGATCCTTCCTGGGTCACGCCTGCCTAAAATGTATCCAAACATTCAGTGTCTCCTCCCTCTGCATGCAGACACTGAACTTTTCTCATAGAGATTCATTGATTCAATTTATCTCTATGAGGAGATGCTGATTGGCCAGGGCTGTGTTTGAATCATGTTGACTCTGCCTCTGATCTGCCTCTTTGTCAGTCTCAGCCAATCCTATGGGGAAGCAATGTGATTGGATCACGCTACCATTTCTGATGATGTCAACAGACTGCTTGTTTTTCTGAGTCTAACAGCATGCAGAGTTACAGCTTCAGGCTTGAGTACAGTAAGACTTTGCTATATTTATGGAGGCAAAGGGGGCCAATGGGGCTGGATAGTGGTTTTAACACTATAGGGCCAGGAATACATGTTTGTGTTCCTGACCCTATAGTGCTCCTTTAAATTAATCAAGAGGGATTCACTAATTCCCATGCTTTAGCAACTCAAAAGTGACCTGCATGAAAACGGTCATCAATCTCAGAGACAGACGTCACATCACTGCCCCAGTCTCTAGTTCTAGGGATAGACTGTTACAAAAAAAGGTTTCTGGCCCATCTGCCGGCACTGACATGGCCATCCCGAAGGTTCTATCCAGATAGACATCATTGAAAATATCCCTCAATTATTGCAGTATCCAGTGGTGTGTAAAATTAGATTCTCCTTCCAAACTCCTGTGCCAGGTTACATAAGATGCCAGCAGGGTACGATTTCCTGCCCTTTTGTTCTCTTTTGTGTTAATGAGCGGGTGAACTTAACTCCTGGCACTGCGCCCAAGCAGACATTTTAAAGGTTACCTGTCCTCTCTTGAACTCCCGTGTTTCAGGAACTGAACTTACCAATGAGCAGAACTCCATGACCAGCAGGTAAGGGGTGATCTCTGCGCACTGTGCCAAGCACTGCAGCAGGTTGTCATGTTGGAGGACTCTGAGGATAGAAGTGGCCAAGCGTTAAAGAATGCTAGCCCAGCTGAACATCACAACGGGGGAATGATTTAATGACAATAAAATAATTCTAAAAGCATCACATTCTAAAAACGTAATTTTTAAGGTTAGACATATACATGCATCCATTTTCAAATATACAGTTTACTAGATCACATGTCAATTATGACCTTTACCAAAAAAAAATTTAAAAAATCGCCCTTGGCACAGCAGTTCAGAAACTTTGCGTTTCCACAATTTTCCTAGAATCTCATGAAAACAAGCAGGCAGTATACACTGCTCCAGACCTCAACCCCCATTTGTTCAGGACCCCTGTGCCATGACCAGCTGTTTTATAACAATGCACAGGTTACAATCTGATTGAAATAAAGCTCAATAAAGGGCTGCGCAGGTCCCCTGTTTGGGGGTCAGCGAGGTATTAGATTTGTTCACTGGTTACAATATCTAGCGTAGCAAGACTCAGATTAGGTACACGCTAAGTTTGGCTGTTTCAGGGCAAATTTTAAAACCGGTTTATTTATTTTTTATAGATCACAATTTGAAATATTGTGAAAAATGAATAGATTCAGCCAGTGATAGCGTTTAAACCTCTAGCAGTCCCTCTTCTCTGACTCAACTCAACATATAATAACACAGGAGATTGTCTGCAGCACGTCAGGACAGGCAGCTTCTCCTTTCCTTTGTGCAAAGAATAACAAACTGTCAAACGGGGAGAGAACAATGAGCCCTTTCACAATCATTACCTGGTCTTAGGAAAAAAACATTTGTTTTTAAATTTGACGCGTTAGAAAGCAAATAATAATAATAATAATAATAATATTAATATATAATATTAGAAATGAGCTAGGACAAGGATGCCTTCAGGCTAGCTGAGCACAATGGGGAATGTAGGGTTCCATAAAGTTTACCAAACGTGGCCATTAGGTAGCCTTTGATCCCCTATACACAAGGTGCTGGATCCCCCAAAATAACTGAAAGGGACACTCCACTGCCAAAATAAATAGAAACCACTGTTTAACCCCTTAAGGACTGAGCCAAATTATACACGTTGTGATCAAAACAAAACGTAAACAAAACCTGGAATTTGCGCTTTATGTCTGTTCAGGCGTAATTCACCTCTTTCGTATTATGCGCACCCACAATTATTATATATTATTTTATTCAGGGGAAACAGGGCTTTTATTTAACATCAAATATTTAGCTACGGGACATAATATCATATCAATACAATATTTTAAAAATGTGAGAGAATAAGAATTTGTTTAGTTCTACACGACATTTTAACTGTGATTGTCATAATATTGTTTGCTTTTACTGCAATAAATAACATATTTGTATTCAGCGATGTCTCACGTGTAAAACAGTACCCCCTGTGTACAGGTTTTATGGTGTTTTGGGAAGTAACTGGGTCAAATTTAGCATGTAACATTTTTAATTTTTTACTTTGAAATTTGCCAGATTGGTTACGTTGCCACAAACACTGGCCAAATTTAGTGTTAATATTTGTTTGTGTGTGAAAAATGCAAAAAACTAATTTGAATGACAATTTTGGCCAGTGTTTGTGACTAAGTGGCTACTAAAAAGACTGGACATACCCCATTTGCAATACCATGGGTTGTCTACTATTGCAAATGGTATGCCATCATGGGGGTAATTTTTATTCATGGACTACCATACAGTCTCAAAGGCAACGTAACCAATCTGGCGAATTTTAATGTGAAAAAAATGAAACGCAAGCCTTATATTTGACTCTGTAACTTTTGAAAACACCATAAAACCTGTACATGAGGGGTACTGTTATACTCATGTAAATGCACTGTTATACTACATTTTACAGGCAGCAAGGGGAGTACCTCTCATTCCAGAAACTCCCACTGCTGGCACTGTTGTGGACGGCTAGGCTGTCCGGGTGATCATGAGGTCCTCGCAAGAACCTCGCATTCACATGGCCCAGGAAGGCCAGAACGGCAGCAGGGGTGAGTCTGGTTTGCGGTGGGGGTGCCAGGTGAGTCCCTCCACCGCAACCTCCGGCATGGGATCGCCGGCGAGCGGGTAAGTAAATAGGACAGTGCTATGCTGCCCGCCGGCGTTTAGAGCCGGGTCCCCAAGGACGGCATAGCACGCCCGCTGTCCTTAAGGGGTTAATAGATATATGCCAAATGAAAACATGGATACATTTAATTAGGCATGTGTATCTAAAAACAGCTCCCGTTTAACCCTGCCCAGACTTTCTGTGGCTGTCCAATCACAGACTTCCCAATGCAGCTCAATGAGAAGTCTTTGCAAGGCAGGTGCTCTGGGCAATTGCTGCCTCGTTTATCTCCTCTGAGCTAAACAAACCAGGAAGTAACAGGACCGATTCTCTAGTTGAAACCAGGGGGAGTAACAAAGTAATTTTGTAATATAATAACAAATGTAACTTATAAAAGTGCCAGCTTCTATTGAAATCTGTACATTTTATTTTTTTACAAGTAAGCAACAATTTCAAGATTGTACATCTATTTGTAAAGAATTTGGCAAGAGAACTTAAGAAAGCAACATTATAACAGACATTCCAAACAGCGTCATCTAACAGGAACTACGTACCACAAACACATACTGACAGCGTTGGTGAGTGCGTCTGTTTGCAACATACCTGAGATCACAGAGTGTTAAAAAAGTACACAGTGCTTGCTAATTAATGGGGAACTGTCACCTGAGCTCAGCTCTACCTTATTTAATAAAGTCCCAAAATATTAATGACAGATTGTGTGAGCCGTGTCTCGTATTCAGAAAGCACAGAATGTATATTACATCCACCGTCCCAGCTTGCAGACATTGATTTATTGTATATACTACAGTGAGGCAGGACAATGAAACGTGAAATCATTGTTAAAAGATTTACATATTCCGCGTTATTTACCAACGAGAGAGCTGTCAGGAATTCTAATTTAAGGCCGAATAGGCGAACTGCAAGCATAGCTGATTGGCAGAATTGACTTTAAATTTGAAATTCACGTTTAAGTTCTGACAATTCTCACTTTAGTGAATAATCCAGTTACTTAGGATTATTTACTAAAGAGAGAATTCAAAGTGAATTTCAAATTTAAGACCAGAGTAGTCAAACTGACAGCATAGAATTTATTATCATATCCAACGATAATGTTTCAGAGGTTCTGCTTATATTTGGGATACTGACTGGAGGTCTATACTGGACTAGGTCTCTACATGTAAGGGACTAATGGGGGTTAAGAACAAAGAACATTCATGGGCCAATTTTCTAAAAGTGAGGCTGTTTCCATGGAAACCAGTAAATATTCCTGCTGTCAATAAATTCTAACCTTAACTCTCTCTGCTCTTTATATCTTACTCTCTGGCCCTCGAGAAACAATTAACTGGTTTGGTAGACGCTCAGAGTAAAGACCCGGCGTACAGGAAGGGGCGAGGTGTGAACTTGTATCCTGTTCCCAAGACTTGGGGTGGAACCAAGACACCGTATTCGAAAAAACAAGGTTCAAGCATTCACTCTATCTAGCCGTAAACCGAACAAGTGAAAGGAAACAGGCAGGGATATTTTCCTCCACTAACGGAACCTTATTACATGACTACAGTATTAACAAACTGATTTATGGAATCATAAACCCTTATTACAGCAGATTGTATTTTACAATATAATTAAACTAGAGTAACATCATTGGGAGATATATTAATTAGAGATATTTTACAATAAATAACCAACAGACTGAAATAATGCTGACAGACAGACACAGACACAAGTGACGAATGCCCTGTTCAAAGAAGCTTACAATCTAACTATGTTTCCAGTTAAACTATTTGGGTCGAATATTCTGAAATTCACTACAGTTGCCAACGATTCACACTGAATTTATTAACTCCGATACACACTTGAATTTTAATTGTACATTCTTTATTGGTTATTTTGTATTCTTAAAACTAATACTAAAAGGAAAGATGAAATAAGTGGTTATAGTAGTTTTTCAGTATTACGTGTGTGCAGACAGTGGGATAATCTTGAATGTTTTGTGCTACAGAATTAACTGGCGCGATATAAATAATCAAATAATAATAATAATAATAGTAAGTGGATTACTGTAACCCTCTCCTGACTGGTCTCCCCAAAAGCCGTATTGCCCCGCTACAGTCTGTCATGAATGCTGCAGCTAGACTGATTTTCCTCTCTAGTCGGTCCTCTCACACCTCAACCCTCTGCCAGTCCTTACACTGGCTCCCTGTATGCTATAGGAGTCAATTCAAAGTGCTAACCCACACATTTAAAGCACTGAACAATTCTAGCCCCACTTATATCTCTTCACTAATCCATAGATATGCCCCTCCTCGTACCCTCCGCTCTGCCCGTGACCACCTCCTGACCGCTGCTCGCACCCGTACGGCCAACTCGCGCTTGCAGGACCTCTCGTGGGTGGCTCCTCTCCTATGGAATAGCTTGCCTACTGCCATCAGACTCTCCCCTAGTCTTCAATCATTTAAGAAGGGCCTTAAAACCCATCTCTTCAGGAAAGCTTATGGCCTCCCAGAGTAATCTCTACCTTACATACCTGTCTCCTGCTCTCTCCTATGGGACAGTGCTTTGCTCTCTCCTCCAGCTCTGCTTCACTCCTACTTGATATTTCTTGTCCTAATGTTTCTAATACCCCACCTCCTATAGTCTGTAAGCTCATTTGAGCAGGGTCCTCTTCAACCTATTGTTCCTGTAAGTTTTCTTGTAATTGTCCTATTTATTGTTACATCCCCCCTCTCAAAATATTGTAAAGCGCTACGGAATCTGTTGGCGCTATATAAATGATAATAATAATAATAATAATAATAATATAATGACACAGTGAGAGCCTTCACGTAAAGGGTTAATGTAGACATGCATTCCTTTCAGAATGTTCATTCAACAGACGCCACCTACTGGCTAAACTTGGTATAACATCGTCTTTCTGTGAGCAGGGGGCTTGGCGATGGATACATTAATTGGCTGGGGAATTGGTGATGTAACATGCATGGGACAGGTACATACCTGTATGGGTGGGTCTCTTCTAGAAACAGCATCTGTTCCTGAACACTGGCGCTGACCTTCAGCTCTTTCACAACAACCTGTGTGCTGCTTATCCCCGAGTTCACCTCCCCGAGCAGAACCTAAAACATAATGCAAATCAGACATGGCTAATTACTAAAGTAAACATTCAAAGTACATTTCAAATTTAAAGGACCACTCTAGGCACCCAGACCACTTCACCTTAATGAAGTGGTCTGGGTGCCAGGTCCCTCTAGGGTTAACCCTTTTTTTTTTATAAACATTGCAGTTTCAGAGAAACTGCTATGTTTATTAATGGGTTAATCCAGCCTCCAAATCCTCTAGTGGCTGTCTCATTGACAGCCGCTAGAGTCGTTTGCGTGCTTCTCACTGTAAATGCTTTCCTATGAGACCGGCTGAATGCGGCACAGCTCCTGCCGCGCATGCGCATTCAGCCGAAGAGGAGGATCGGAGGAGGAGAGCTCCCCGCCCGCCGCTGGAGAAAGGCGAGTGTTTAACCCCTTCCTCTCCCAGAGCCCGGCGGGAGGGGGTCCCTGAGGGTAGGGGCACCCTCAGGGCACTATAGTGCCAGGAAAACGAGTATGTTTTCCTGGCACTATAGTGGTCCTTTAAGGGGTTAAGGCTGAACTGAAAGTAGAGCTGATTTTTTACCATAAATTTGAAATTCACTTTGAATTGTCGATTTAGTAAACCCTGACAGTCCCAAATGGACACACGTCAAAATTGATATTCACTAATAAAGGGGGATTTCTACCATCCCCAACCCCAAATATAAAGAGAGAGAGAGAGAAGGATAGAGAGAGAGAGATGAATAGCTTGCACTCACGGTCTTTTCTAGGTTTAAAATCTTAAATCTTTTACAGTAAATCCATAAAAAATATTGGCATTTCAGCCCTCCTTCTGGGCTTTCATCAGGATCAAATGTATATATACAAGCCACATATAATGGGTGTGTTAACTGAAATATCACCAAATCTCAGGGATACAGTTTTTAACAAAATATTACTGCACTCTTCTCAAACAAGCTGACTGTAATGCATTGTACAGCCAGCAGGGGGCGCAGACATACACCTACCTTGCCAAACCAGCCATGTCCAATCTCCTTCAGGTAAAGTAGACTTTGCCTTCCCAGGTCTGTGGATTTGAGAAGCTGCACTGTAACAAACAGAAAAGAAAAAAGAAAAATCACCTCCCTTATCTCGATATGCTTTACCAACCGAACTCTAAATTATTAGATTACCATCTCATTGTACAGAACTGCAAACTATGTTGGAGCTGTATAAATAATAAACTGAAATATCAAAGGATCTCGGTTTAAAGAAAAGTAAAACAAGAATCTGGTAAATTGGCATTAGTCACAGAGGGAGACTGGAATAAATCGGATGCGTTAAAGGTCACGTGTAAAGTGTGATGTCTCTATTTCCACGCAGAGGTAACGTAACATCATGAGTAAGGTTAGGAAGATAGCTCAGTTGGTTAATGTGCCACTTCAAGCCTTGTTCAATGAGAATCAAGCCGATTAACCCCGGGACTATTATAGGGTTCCTGAGAATAAAGGTAAATATGTTCACTACTAGCTAACTGTATACTAAACATGTAAAGAGGGTTTCTTCATGAAAATCTAATCACAGTGAATTAAAATCCAAATTCTTAAATTGTAGCTAAAATTTCTAAGCTGAGAATTTCTACAAAATCAATAACATTTTCATAAACATTGGCATTTAGATTCTAAGTTACTACAATTTGGAGCCTAGTGAATATCCCAGTGATACCTGGCCCCATGGGGCCCCTGACAGCGAAGATGGTGCCATCCATTCTGAAAGGAGCATTGTTATGCTCTGGGTCTGGTGTCCCCTTGCCTTACGATTTGGCAGAACATGGCTGAGTGTTATGTGATTTGGACAAACTGTAAGGTTCGGAGAATACATCAGATATTATCATCACACAACTCTAGCGTTAATGAGAAAAACTTTCAATTCACTTTGAATTCCTGACAATTAAACTTTGTAAATGAGTTTGTCAGGGTTATTAATTAAAGGGTGAAATGCTTGGAATTCAAAATTCATTTCTAAATTTAGGCCAATGGCAGTGCATTTCTAAGGGCATTGTGATGTAAAAATGCTGGTAATAATTAAATTATTTTAGTGATTGGAGATTTTAGGGTTGGGGTGGCATTCAGGAGGCCTGTGGTTAGGTTTGTTTAGAGTTACGGTACCTGCCTTCAAGGTGTTTTGAACTATAATCCCTATAACTCTCGATCAGGTTATGCGTTTACCATCCAAAGCACCTTGAATACAGGTATCCCTTACCATGGGTCACCATTCACACCAAAGTGTCCTCCAGCCCTAGACACCCATAAACCTCCAGACTGTGCCCCACATTAACACAATACAATAATAGTATAAACTGTGCTACAATGATTGCTACAATAAAGGATGTCTATAATGAAATCGAGATAAATTGCATTTCCAAATGAAATTGTCCCTAAACACACACGCTACCAAAATGCTATCACTAGGAATGTCAGCAAGTGGCTGGACAACATGCAGCTAATGATCTGCTGGACTATAATTCCCATTTGTAGCTCTGATGGGCATTGGAGTTAATCCGCACAAGAGATGGAAAAGTACAACTTGTCTGACTAATATTACTGGGAAAGGATGAGGTCTGAGCAGCGTTCAAACATTCCCCGTATTCATTTCACATTGCAATTATCTCTCTGACATTTAGCCTCTCCGTGCTCCCACGCCAGCCATCCCACCACCATGCCCTAAAATTCCAGGGCTGCATGCTGGCTTGCAGTGACACACAGCGTCATTGTGGCCTGCCTGGCACGGCTTCTCACTGTCTCTATAGACACAAAGACACTGAGAGCATTCTGTGTAGCATCAACGCAAACATGGGCGGGCTGGGCATCTGTGAAAAGGGTCCCTTGTCTGCTTAAACGTCTGTACTTTGAGGGGTTTGTTTTTTACGTTCCCCATTCCTTAGCACACCCCTTTGTTCTCAAGGAGAAATAAAATTGAAAGCGATGAATTCCTCATCCAGATTCCAGTCCCACTCATGGCCAGTGACGGAGGCAGCCCTGGACAGCTATCGACATTGTTTCGGCCGAGCCCACACACTGCAAGAAGGTGATGCACTAACCATTTTTATATTCTCACCCTTTCCGAGTGGTACCAGATTTGTGCCTTGTTCCCACAAACATATACAAAGCATACACATTCCAGAACACCACACAATCACTATCACTTTAACAACGCTTATTTTTGCAATAACATTTTAATGCAAGTTTTTATAAAAACGATATAAGGTGAGGAAGTTTTTTTGTGAAAACCTAAAATAAATGAAAATAGAAAAAACAACAACTCGTTCCTCAACATCATCCACAGAAAAATGTATTTTCTTGAGGGCAGTGACTACCCCTGTACAATGTAGCAACAAGGCTGGGAGTGCCTAACATGAGACAGGTGTCCGACAGAATCTGTACCACTACCTACTTTCTCACTGCGTACAAGCGTAGCAGGGAACTTATTATTATTAACAGTATAAATAAAAAAATAACACAACAGGTAACAGTGTGGTCTAAAGAATCTTATTGGAAATGATTGAAGGAATAGCATTAACAGTGAGTATTCAGATGGAATTTTAAATTTAAGGTTTAAAGATAGCTATGCTGTCAGTTTGGTTACTGTGGCCTTAAATCTGAAATTCACTTTGACTTCTCACTAATAAATAACCCTGTCAGAATTGTATTCCCAGGATAATAGAAGACGTATGAGGTAAGGCAGGTCATGGGTACACTAACACGATCCAATATTTATCCTGTAAACCAGCAAATATTATTTAAACTAGTTCCTCAACTTTGTCCTCAGAGTCAGCAGCTAAAAGAATGTAGAGGGGGTCCCTCTAGTGCAAGAGTGGCCAAAAGGTAGATCCCCCTCTGTCGTACAACTCCCATAATGCTATGATAGCTGTAGATCTACCATAGGCCCATCCTTGCAGGGCTGTATTTGTAAACAGTGTTTGTATAGAGTTTGTGTGTGCATGTAGGGGTGTATATGTATGTATTATTGCCATTGGTATAATGCAGGGTGAGTTTGAATGCAGGGTGTGTTTGTATGTAATGTTTGTGTTTGTATGTAATGTTTGTGTTTGAGTGCAGAAGTGTGTTTGTAAGCACGGCATGTTTGTATATAATGTTTGTGTTTAAATGCAGGAGTGTGTTTGCAAGCAGGGCGTGTCTGTATGTAATGTGTGTGTTTGAGTACAGGGTGTGTTTGTATATAATGTTTGTGTTTGTATATAATGTTTGTGTTTGAGTGCAGGAGTGTGTTTGTATGTAATGTTTGTGTTTGTATATAATGTTTGTGTTTGTGTTTGAGTGCAGGAGTGTGTTTGCATGTTGTGCTGATGTATGATTGCTGGGATGTATGCTCTTACGTACATACACAGCCACATACATACCTACACAGATATAGCTACACATTAACAAACACATAGGAACACACACTGACACCTACACACACCTTGAGACAGACACACGTACACACCGGGACCGGGCCCCTGTTCAGCAATAACCTACAGGTGACCCCAAGTTCATCGATCACCCGATGGAACCCTCAAGGAGCAGCTGCACCAGAAATAGTCCCACCGCTGCCCAGAGTCAATATAAGGAAGGTTATTTACTAAAGTGAGAATTGTTCAGAATTCAAAGTCAGTTCTAAGTGAATTTTAAATTTAAGGTCAAAGTAGCCAAACTTGGAACATTTTCCCAGGCAGCTCTGCTCCTAGTTCAGCTACTCTGGACTTTAATTTAAAATTCACTTTGATTACTGGATAATTAACACTAAAATAACCCTGAAGGTGTCCAATTCTGCATTTTGTATTTTTTTTATGTTAGTTTATTTAGAGAGGATTCTAGCCAATCTGATTTGAAAGCAAAATAAAATCTGGTCTCAAACAAAGTGAAGGTAGGGCTTTCAGGGCGTATCCGTTTATGGAAAACAGCTTTCCCTGGCACCACTAATTCCATTTAAATTAATGTATTAAAATGCGTGATCCCTGGATTGGAAGATATACAAAATATAACGCATTCTGGAGCAGTTTAAGTCTGGGTATATAAGAAATAATTTAGGTATACCCGAATATTTCTCCAAAATTACTGCACCCCTCACAGGCTTAAATGCATTGGTAAAGGTATGTGTCTGTCCTCACCGCGCGATGGGAAATCTCAGAGATCACACATTTTCATTGAAATTGTCCAGTGGTGTCATGGTGAGATGCCACCAGGTGTAGTTTGTAAAGTCTGGTCACTGCTCTCAAAATGTGGCCGGTTTCTAAGGTGTGTATTGCATGTGACCATTTTTCCAGTTATGGGTTATGTGTGACTTCCTTGGGACTCGAGGAGAAAGGCATATCAAGAAACTGGGTAAGGGTGACACCATGAGAAAACAGTTGTTCTAGAGAATTGTTGGGGAAAAAGGTATTAATCCAGCCTAAGGCGTACCTAGAGGCCAAGGTCATGATATTGGGGAGGTTTAGATTCAAACTGACGATGGTTGGCTGAAGGCAGCTCAGATCAATTTTGGGCTTTTTGCCTTTCCGTCGGAAGTTTGTAAATAATGTGTAAATGCGCCTCTCATGCTTCCTAGAAAGGAGGGGAGGTGAAATTTGAAATGGATAAAGTTGTTTTGAGAAAACAGTCAACTTTAAGAAGAAAGTTCATTTATAAATTCAACAATTAGAAGTATCTATTTTTCTATTCAAAGTTTGATCTGACAGTTTTTAAAATATATCTTGTATAAGGGTTAATAGTTGTGTTGGAATGAGAATCACCAAGTATTTCATACATTCAGATTGCAAGTTGAGATTTGCAGATGAATGGTGATACTCGATGGAATGGAGAGTATGTGAAGGATCCAGGTAAGAGGGTCAAGAGCCAGGTTAAAAAGAATCGTAATGAGCGGCCACTCCTTTCTCACTCCTGCACCCATTATTACCTGACCGGAATCCAGACCATTTGTGGAAATGCGAGTGTCAGGGCTATCTGAAAAATAATCTGTGAGATTAAAGAACAGGATTCAGAAAAACATGGTACTTATGGATGCAGGATAGATGGTACCGATACACTTGGAAAATTCCCATTTTTAATTCCATTAGGACTGGCTCGAAGTGTGGACATTATCCAGTGCTGTAAGCTAAACTAATCCGTGCCACAGCTGAAACTCTGCTTCAATACTACACCTTGTATATCCTCACAGTTTACAGACACAACATGGAATGGTACCACATGTGTCAAAACACTACAAACTATTTTGCACGGGTTATGAAAGAGTTAATAACTTAAAGAGCCAGCTCAATTAGAAAATTCCCTGGCGAGCTGCACTCGATCCATCCAGTATTCGTCTTGTATTGCCTATAAGTGACAAGGACAAGAAGATGGCAGAGCGGAGTACCCAGCAGCCAGGAGTGACAATTACTAGCGACTGGTTTTAGGAAGTGGCAGCGGATGAAAAGGAGGAGGATATATTGAAGACGTAACCAATTTACTAACCGTAACGTGATGCTACAAAAAACTTATATAGTAGGGCAAACAGTTTTACATGCTACGAATCTAGAATAAATACGATTTATAAAATGCTAGCACATTCCGTGGCGTTGTACAATGTTTGTATTGGCCGGCAGTGATAGTATGCTCCGTACCCAGCGTAACACAGATATCACGCAGAAGGACCTCTCCTTACCTGATCTTCCAGGCTGTTTGGACATTGGCACGGAGACCTCTGTAAGAGGCAGAACATACACCTCGGGCCCATTCTGCGCCGCGGGGGAGCTCTGGACAGAAAATTCAGTGGTGTAATCTTCTCCCTCCACATTGTCAAGCTCCTGAGGACAACAAGGGGCCTTCATTATTTCCACATAGAAAAGAAGAAAAAGAAAAGGAGGGACAAAGAGTTTTCTCCAGAAAACAAGAGGTTAAATCACTTAAAGGCAAAGTACGGTGAATTGACAACCAATTTGCAAAATGTAACATACAATATGAAGATGATATTTAGGCCGAATTGTTTTCAATACTATCGTCAACTAACAGTTTCATTCAATAAAATGTGTTTACTTTCATTTTAGTCTAAAAAGGCTAAACTGAAAACAAACATATTTTTCTATTTCAGCAATTTGGTCAAAATTTTACATTTACTCTGAATATCTGTCAACTCACAATTTGGTTCATACCATGGTGTGATAGTTTAGAGGATACACCCTATGTACTAATAATTTATTTATACAAAATGGCGCACATCCAAGATGGCAGCCGGCCTGTCGATTGCTGACGTACAGTAAACAACAGATGTCACAATCTGCTTGCAGGTTTATAAGCTAGTTATTGATAAATGTGGCCTCACTGAAGGTCAATTACATTGCCCATACTGCTCTAAAGATTGCATGAGTATCTTGGGAAATGTAGTTTGCCAGCATCGGTTGGGCTGACCTAAGCCAAACATCAATTCATTGCCCTGGTTTGTTAGTTGTGCATAAGTCTCAAATCCCCCACCCCCCAAACTGTATGAAACGTGTGGAGTGCTAATAGTGTCTGTGTGATAATGTTAACTCGGCGACGAATGTACATGTTTCAGAGCTGGAAATTAAATTATTTAACGGGGAGACAGAGGGGTTAAGTGTGCCCTATTATCGCTGTTCCCCCACCCTTGAGCAAGCTTTCTAAATAACCGTATCGGCTGGCCCCTGACACGCTCCAGGAGTCGCCATGATGCTATTACTCATGCATGACTTAGCGTGGCATTACAGCTGGCACAGGGATGACCCATTTCCTCTGTATTGAAAGATGCCAGCTGCTGTCCTGTTTACAGAACAAGTATGCCACACGCATGCCCACAGGCTCCCCCTCAACGCTGCTGCCATCTCCTCTCCTGGGCATCTACATATGCACGCCATGCAGGCACGCTCTCCCAACTGGCAGTCTTCGTACATGGGAAAATCAGCAAATACTGTGCAGGAAGCACTGATAATAGGAGTACTTCGATCTAGGGACAAAGGAAGCTTCAATTTACAAATCTAGGAGTGAAAAATATCTTAACTTTAAATTATAATTTGAGCTGCGAAATCTAGCCCAAAACAGCTGGTTTGTAAGAAATATCCAACTCAACTTTGTTAATAGGAATGGTGTCCAAACTACCTTAATAAGTTTACAGTTATTAAGAAATTATTATACGACAATTCCCGTAATCCACAGCCGACGAGAGCCATTAGTACAGCATTAGCATCTACAGCCAACACTAAAATACAGACAACGTACACTATATAAATATTTCAATGAAAGTAGAGGTTAGACAGCTGCTGATTGCCCTGTACAATGAATAAAAAGTCACTATACAGGGCGGCTGATCAAAGTCTATAGTGTATATATAGAAGATTTGTGGCCAAGTCATTACAGAATAAGTCAATAAAAGGATTGCGCCTGACCAGGTATTTGCAGCCTCACTTGCGACGTCCCAGAAATAGATGCTGAATAATATATTATGTATGACTGCACATAACAGACGGAAAACAAACGACCCCAGTCTGGTAGACAGGACACGGCAACGCCTTCTCTATAAAGAAATATTTAGCAGGTAGAAATTAATAACTCTGAGTTGCTGGAGCAAATGAACAATTTTGGCGATACCCTGAGGTTAATCGCTAAACTGTAAATAGCGTTGGATTGAGAATTTTAGACAAAAGTAGCCGAACCGGAAAAGGAGATGGGTTGACGAATTTTTCCATTTCGACTATCTGGGTCTAAGAATTACAGTTCTTGTTTTAATGGATAAACCTTGCTAAAATGCTGCACACTCTCTCTCTCTCTCTCTCTCTATATATATATATATATATATACAGTATACTGTATAGTTGTGCTCCCATCAAGATACGCACAGCATGATACTACATTAAACCACGCAGCTATTTTCATAAAACCAAAGAGAACAGAGAATTAAAAGCAATCTGGGAGAATATTTCTACACCCACACACCGGTACACATATTAATAACAGCTCATGACGTTATGTATGTAAATGCAATTTGTCAAAAAAAGGGTAGCTGTTGGTCTGCTCTGCACCATGTATCCAAACACCCCATTTATACAAACACATCGCTAAGACTTTTATATCCAGTTGGGTCAATAAGATTATTTCACAATATTTTATCTTAATACAACAGTTATTTGGTCAAAGGGAAAACGAAACCTAGCCACGATATTTTATAAATATATCTATACACACACACACACATTTAGACCCCCTCACATTATGACACACACACCGTTTGACGAAATTGCGTCACAGACACACAATTCTTACCCCTACCTCGCCATGTTTGCAAGAAAAAGCTTTAACCCCAAAAGCTGCCCCAGCGATCAGGTAGGAGAGCGTCAGCATATCAGTATTGGGGTAACAGAGACCCGGAGAGGACTGGCCCTGCCATCACACAGCCTGTCTGAGCTGGCACAGCCCCTTACCACGGTTCCCTGTCTCTGTCTGGCACATCACCACGCTCAGCCGAGCTTCAAATCAGAATCCAGGGACTGTGCTGGAAATGGGGGCGGCGAGATCACCGTCACATAGTTTTGTAAAGCCTCGGACATGCCATTCACTGCCCACTCTGTGTGTCACTATCACAGGGCCTCCCCTCTGCACGTGCCATCACAATGCCATTATTATCTAGGGGCACTGCATGCATTGAGACTCCCCAACCTGCTGTATGGAGCCAGAACAGTTAATGTTCTCTTAGAACGAGTTATATAACCAGCTTTATTTATTTCAGTAACACGCTACGTTAATGTATCTTGTGATATCTTATAAAGCAGAGTGTGGGTGCCTGTCTCATGCAGTCAATCCCTATACCAGGGACGGCTAACCATGGCACTCCGGCTGTTTCCCATGATGCTCAGAATCGCAGTTCACAGACGTGGAAATTGCCAGAAACACTAACCGCTTTTCAGCTTGAAGGATAAACAGCGAAATTGGGAAATAAATCTCCAAATCGTGTTTTCACGTTGGCTATTTGGTACCTAAACCTTGAAGTTTTACTTAAAATTATAACAATTAGTTATTTTCAAATTCAAGGCAAAAGTAGCCGAACGGAAAGCATGGCCAACTATGAGAATTTTAAAATTCAGCTATTTTGGCCTTAAATTTAAAATTTACTCGAAAATCTCTGTAAGTAACTAACTCTCTCTTGGGCTGATGGGCTGTACATGAAAAGTGCTTATAGGAAGAAAGTCAATTAATAAACCACGGAGGAATGATGCTGCTGGGAATGGAGTTACACCTCCGGCAGCAAAGGAGTTAAACTCAGAATGTGCAGCGTTTCATAGCGAAACACCGACATACAGACTTCAGACACCATGACCACTTTATCGTATCACTGAAGTGGTTATGGTGTTTCGGTTACCTTTAAAACTATTTTTTTTATCTCAATGTTCCCTATACACTGATCAGCCACATTAAACCCACTGCCAGGCGAAGTGAATTATATTGATTATATAGTTACAATGACACCTGCCAAGGAGTGCGATATATTGAGCAGCAAGTGAACAGTCAGTTCTTTAATTTCATGTGTTGGAAGCAGGAAAAATGGGCAAGTGAAATGATCTGAGTTACTTTAAAGGACCACTCTAGGCACCCAGACCACTTCAGCTTAATGAAGTGGTCTGGGTGCCAGGTCCCTCTAGGATTAACCCTTTTTTTTTATAAACATAGCAGTTTCAGAGAAACTGCTATGTTTATATTAGGGTTAATCCAGCCTCTAAAGCCTCTAGTGGCTGTCTCATTGAAAATCACAGTGAGAAGACGCCAGCGTCCATAGGAAAGCATTATGAATGCTTTCCTATGAGACTGGTTGAATGCGCATGCAGCTCCTGCCGCGCATGCGCATTCAGCCGAAGAGGAGGATCGGAGGTGGATAGGAGGAGGAGAGCTCCCTGCCCGGTGCTGGAAAAAAGGCAAGTTTAACCCCTTTGCTCTCCCCAGAGCCCGGCGGGAGGGGGTACCCTCAGGGCACTATAGTGCCAGGAAAACGAGTGTTTTCCTGGCACTATTGTGGTCCTTTAACAAGGATCATAATGATGGCTAGACGACTGGGTCAGAGCGTCTCCAAAGCGGCACGTCTTGTGGAGTGTGCACGGTATGCAGTGCTTAGTACCTACCAAAAGCGGAGACCCAAATTATTGAAAAATGTAATTCTGTCCGTGATAGAAAGATACCAGAACACACAGTGCATCGCAGTTTGCTGTGAATGGGGTTGCGTGGCCGCAGACTGGTCATGGTGTCCATTATGACCCCTGTCCATGACTTCAATGGGGACGTGAGCGTCAGAGCTGGACCATGGAGCGATGGCAGAAGGTTGCCTGGTCTGATGGATCACATTTTCTTTTAGATCCTGTGGATGGCCGGGTGATTGTGCATTGCTTACCTAGGGAGGAGATGGCAGCAGGATGTACTATGGGAATAAGGCAGTGTTATGATCTGGGCAATGTTCTGCTGGGAAGCCTTGGGTCCTGGCAATTATGTGGATGTTACTGTGACACGTACCAGACCACATACACCCCTCATGGCAGTGGAGTTCCCTGGTGGCAGCAACCTCTTTCAGCAGGATAATGCCTCCTGCCACACTGCAAACATTGTTCAGGAATGGTTTGAGGAACATGACAAAGAGATCAGGGTGTTGCCTTGGCCTCCAAATTAACCACATCTCAGTCCAACTGACCATCTGTGTGATGTGCTGGAACAACAAATCCGATCCATGGAGGCCCCACCTCGCTACTTGCAGGAATTAAAGGATCTGCTAATGTCTTGTTGCCATATACCACAGGTCACATTCGGAGGTTTTGTGGAGTCCATGTCTCGACACACTAGAGCTGTTTTGGCAGCACAAGGCGGGCCTACACGATATTGGGCAGGTGGTTTTAATGTTGTGGCTGCTCAGTGAATAGTAAAATGCCTTCAAAACAATTTGACTGTTCAAAATGTTAACCGTTAATTAGCCCTTCAGCACAATATTCTGTAAAACATAGACAATGAAGTGGTTTTGGTGCTGTGGCCCTGGTGTAAATGTAAAACATTGCTGTTTTGGAGATATCGAAATGTTTTTATAGTGGGGTTCCCCTGACCGCCACTAGATGATGGTCCACAGTAAAAGCAACGTTTCATTGAGCTCTTGAATGAGAGAAGCATTTGATGTGCATGCGCATTGAGTACAGAATGCTTCTCTATGAGAAGCATTTGATTAGGATACATGTTTACCAATCCTGATGACCTCAGCGGGGGCGGATTAGGCTGCTCTGAAGAGGTTGTCTTGGTGCTGTATTGCAGGTTAGTAAAGAGCTCATATAACAATTTGTATTAAATGAGATAAACAGCGAGCCCTGAAATCTAAATTAAAGGACCACTATAGGCACCCAGACCACTTCATCTTAATGGGGGATTAACCCTGCCTGCTGTAAACATAGCAGTTTCAGAGAAACTGCTAAATTTACATATGGGTTAATCCAGCCTCTCGTGGCTGTCTCACTGACAGCCGCTGGAGGCGCTTCTCACTGTGATTTTTACAGTGAGAAGACGCCATGGTTCATAGGAAAGCATTGAGAATGCTTTCCTATGAGACTGGCTGAATGCTCTTGCCGCGCATGCGCATTCAGCCGATGATGGGAAAGGAGGAGGAGAGTCTCCAGCACCGAGGGAGCCCGGCGCTGGAGAAAGGTAAGTGTTTAACTCTCTCTCTCCATCCAGCCTGGCGGTAGGGGGACCCTGAGGGTGGGGGCACCCTCAGGGCACTATAGTGGTCCTTTAAACTAACATTAGTACCCCTATGATTCCTTTAACAAAATCTGAATAGTGGTATAGAACAGGGCTGGCAATAACAGTAACTTGGCAAAGTATCATGGGAGTTGTAGTTACATAAGAGTTGCGGGTCTGACTTTTGGCCTATTGTGGATCTGGGAATTATATCAGAATTTGGAGAACCTTTCAAATATACCGGTATTTATTTTGGCATAAATGGTCACTTTCTGTGTTAATTATCCAAACTTCCCAGTTTAAGCAGCAGTGAGGGGCCCAGCCCAGCCCTGGAGTGAGCCCACCCTTGCAGTGAGGGGCCCAGTTCAGCCCAGCCCAGCCTTGGGTTAACACAGTAGGTTATGAAGTTTACAGAAAAAACTACAAATTCTCACCCGCTGTCTTCCAACAAAAATGAAGGGGTAACTAAAAAGGGGGAGTCAGGCTGGGGTGGTAACTAAAGAGGGGGAGTCAGGATGGGGGGCTATAGGATACTGTGGGGGTAGAGAGGGGGAGCAGGCCAGGGGCTATAGGGCCATGGGAGCCCACCCTGAGAGATTGGGAGCCAGGCTGGCCTGCAGTGAGGGGGGCCCAGCTCACTGGGAGCCCCAGCCCAGGGACCATTGGGGTGAAGCTTACAGAAAATCACAAATTTCACTTGTATAAAGGCAGGGATACTGGGATGGGGTACTAGAGAGGGGAGTCAGGGCTGGGGGTATAGGATAACCAAAGATGGGAGTAATTGGATGGGGGTGGTAGGCTGGGGGGCTATAGAGGGGAGCATGGGGGGGCAGGATTAGACAAGGGTCACGGGCACCTCTGGTAGGAGAAGTGAGGGGGAGTCAGGGCTGGGGAGTCAGGCTGGGGATGGGGTACCTCAGAGAGGGGTGGCTCAGGATGGGGGGGTTACTGTGGCTATAGGATATCATGGGATAGGGGTAACTAGAGGGGGGGAGTCATGGGGGGGGTCATGGGATGGGGTAATCTAGGGAGGGGGGAGTCAGGCTGGGGCATAGGATATCATGGGATGGGGTAACTAGATAGGGGAGTCAGGCTGGTGGGGCTTGGCAGGGACACGGGATGGTAACCAGGAGAGGGGGGAGCTCAGGGCAGTAGCATGGGATGGGGCACTCTGGGCTGGGGGGGGCAGGACACAAGTGGGAAACTAGAGAGGGGAGTCAGCACATCAAGTGGGAGGGCCACCAGGAGGGAGGAGCCAGGCTGGGGCAGGTGGACATCAGAGGGGTAACAGAAAGGGGACCTTGTGGGATAGCTAGATATCATGGGATGGGGGGCAGGATAGCTAGATGGGGGGAGGGACATCAGGCTGGTGGGCTGCAGCACATAGGGTAACAGAGAGGTAGTCAGGCTGGGGGCCAAGTTTCCAGGGGGTAACTATAGGGGAGTCACCATTGGGGATGGGCAAATAGCAGAGGGGAGCTGGCTGGGGTGGTAACAGGGATGAGGGGAGAGGGTCAGGGCTGGGGGGCATAGGACACAAGTGGGATGGGGTAGGCTAGAGAGGGGGGGGCTATAGGATATCATGGGGCATGGGAGGGGGTAACCCAGAGAGGGGAGTCAGGCTGGGGGGCTACATATCATGGGATGGGGGTACTGAGGGGAGTTAGGGGCCTGGGGAGGGGGGCTATAGGGGCTGTTGTGAAGTTTCCAGAAAATAACAAATTCTCACCGCTGTCTTCTGAACAAAATGAAGGGCTCAGGCTGGGGGTGGTACTAGGGGGCTGGGGGCTTGGTAGGAGGTCAAGTGGGATGGGGTAACTAGAGAGGGGGGAGTCAGGCTGGGGGCCAGGATACTGCATGGGATGGGGGTAGGCTAGAGGAGGGGAACTTGTCAGGCTGGGGGGCTAGGCATGGTCATGGGATGGGGGTACCCTGTAGTAGGGGAGCTGTGGCCTGGGAGCTATGGACAAGGGATGGGCACTCAGAGAGGGGAGCCAGGGCTGGGGGGGCTAGGGATATCATGGGATGGGGTAGTCAGGCTGGGGGCATAGGATACCGCGGGATGGGGTATAGAGAGGGGAGCCAGGCTGGGGGGGCAGGATCATGGGATGGGAGGATGGGAGGTAAATAGAGAGGGAGAGGGGGAGTTAGGGGCCTGGGGAGGGGGGGGCAACACAGGGTTGGTGAAGTTTCAAAAATAGTACCTCATGAGGGCACTCAAAAAGGGGAGGTGGGGCTGGGGTGGTAACTAGAGGGGGGGGGTCAGCTTGGGGCTTGGTGGGATACTGCTGGGATGGGCTCAGGCTGGGGGGCCAGGATATCAAGGGATGGGGGGTAACTAGAGAGGGGGAGTCAGGCTGGGGGCTGGGCTAGATATCATGGGATGGGGTAACTAGAGAGAGGGGGAGTCAGGGTCAAAGGCAGGGATTGGATATCATGGGATGGGAGGGGGGAGCCAGGCTTGGGGCTTACAGGGATAACATGGGATGGGGGTAAATAGAGAGGAGTCAGGCTGGGGCTGGTCTAAGGATATGGGATGGGGAGAAGTCAGTAGAGAGGGGCAGTCAGGCTGGGGGGGCTGGGGGCTAGGAGGAGTCAGGCCTGGGAGGGGCATGGATACCAGTGGGATGGGGTAACCCAGGAGAGGGGGGAGTCGGCTGTTGGGGGGCTTACAGGATACTAGGAGGGGAGCTGTGGCTTGGGGCTCAGGATATCTGGGATGGGAGGTAACAGGGGGGAGCTCAGGCTCGGGGGCAGAGATATCAAGTGGGATGAGGGTAAACAGAGAGGGGGAGCCAGGGCTGGGGGCTCTATAACATGGGAAACTAGAGAGAGGAGTCAGGCTTGGGGGCTCTAGGACAACATGGGATGGGGTAACTAGAGGGAGCTGTGGCTGGGGTGCAGGGATATCATGGGATGGGGCCACTAGAGGGGAGCCAGGATGGGGCAGGACACATGGGATAAATAGAGAAGAAGGAGTCAGGCTGGGGGCTAAGGACATCATAACGAGATGAGGGTCAGGCTGGCGAGGGGTGAGCTAACATGGGGGCTAACTAGAGAGGGTGAGTCAGGCTGTATAGGATAACATGGGATGGGGATGTAATGCAAACCCCTGTGTAGTATTATAGAGGATAATTTATGGTAATTATTGTGTTTTATACATTTTTGACAAAATAAATTCTCAAACATCTGGTTTTATTTTCACTCTGCTGGTTTGCCTAAAATTTATAAAAATAAATGATCAATAATATTGATAATTACAAGAAGTCCCAATTTAATGAATATATCTGCCCATTCCTGGGTACTGATGTTAGAAAGGTTAAGGGCAAAGCAAATCCCAAATGTTTTTTACATTTTGCTTCACATGACAGTACAGATAGCATTCTGCGTATTATGGAGCTCACCTTGAAGCCGATGTCACCCTTCTTACAGCACAGACAGGCCAACATGAGGAATATGAAGGTGATGAGACCAGAGAAGGAAACGGCCACCACGGCCAGAGAGGATGGCCACGACAACTCGCTCAACAGAGCTCCGTCTGCAAGAGAGCAACACAGATTATACGGCAGCAGCCCTTAAGGTAGGACCATCAATGTTACATTGTATTGACAGACCGTTGCCAAGGTAGGTTACACTGTGTTAGGATGTTTAGAAGAGATCGGAGGGAAAGCAATTTATGTAGGAAATGTACACACATTTATTACTTGCTCCATTGCAGGAGCATTTTGTCTCTTACCTCCATTTGGTTGGGAATTTTTTTTTATTTTTAAGTGAAGCATTCTATTAAAAAAAATATTCTAAAGACAGGGGGGGGAGGGGGTGTTAAAATCCCAATTTGGTTTAGTCTTGGCATAGACAGGGCACACATTGTATTGAAGGAGTCCACAGTTAGTGGCCCCAACTGACAGATATCTAAAAAAAAACGCTTAAAGTGAGCTCTGTATATAGCCCTTAAATACCTTTTTAAATACATCGGCTCAGTGATCCTGCTAAGCCACTGTATTTCAGTCACTGCCTCCAGACTGGTGCATTCAAAACTCAGGGACCCCCAGGTGTCTTTTGATACAGTAGGGCCCACATTTAATGGCCCACAACTGGCAGAAGAGCAATGTGCAGCACTCAGAGTGTGGCACATTGCTCCTTAAATTTATTTAAATACCGTGGCTGAGTGTGATCGTGCTCAGCTGCGGTCATTTCAAATATGACAAACTTTTACGGTTTCCCCAGCTTGTCACAGCCCCCCCCCCCCCCTCCTCTCCCGCTATGAGGCAGTTCCATAGAGTTTGAAAAGATGCCCAGTATCTATCTGTGTCCTGCAGCATAAGTGAGCTCTCCCTCTCATGCGGCAATCACTAAGCAGATAGGACTTAAAGAGCCCCCTGTGCTGTGGGACATCCCTCTGCTGACGTCAGTACCAAATACCTCAAAGGTGGGGTGGAATTAGGACTTGGATTACGGGTTGTTATTACTAGCAGAATACACATATTGGGTGTTTGCAGTAGTGGGACATGATTATTATGTGAATTTCCCTGAAATAAAATCTGTGTAAAAAGCAAAAACAGATTAAATTCGCCTTGGATTAAATCCTATATGATGCAGACAATCTAGCCACTTAGATCCGTAATATCAGTACGGAACGCATTGCCTTGTCCATGATCTTTCCAGGGTCTGTGTTCAATTACTAAATCTATATATTGCCCACCAGAATGCTTCCAGAGTATAGTATGTATCACTGGCTTGTGAGCCAGGTGTTCTGATTAGAACACTGTGTTGTCATTCAGTAAAGTGTAGCTTGGAAAATGAATTTAATATGACTGACTTTACCCGAATTGTACTAAATTCAGGTGAAAGTATTTTATTTTGATAGAATGAGCACATCTTATGTAGTACTATCCAGTGTTTCCAATTTTATATTTTAAAAAAACCCAATTTCAGCCAGATTGAACCCTGAACAAATTTGGTAACCGGCAAATTCCCAAAATAAATTTATCTGCTTTTTGCAAACAAATCTACTGAAATCTGCAATATTCGGCCACTGGCAGGAAAATGGTTAAAGTAATATGAATGCAATAAATCCTATAAAAACCTAAACGTAATAACACTGCTAAATATGTTTTACACATATTGGTATATTGACTCCCCCTTTTCCCCTGGAGGTGGCTATTATAATGGTGCCAACTATATTTTTTTATTAGAATTGGCAGATTAAATCGTATATAAGAGGTAGTCGATTTGGTTTTCAGAAGATAAATAAATGCAGGTCTGCTTCCATTAATGGGTAAATATTAAGGGCACAGAAGAGAGAGGTAAAGCTATATTACACCTACCCCAAATCAGGGATATACCTACTAACTAGTGATAAACTATAAATAATCTCCTCTATGTCACTCAATCAGAGCTAAAGAAGAGAAGATTTGTCCACTACACCTAATGCTCCTAAATCCTATTCTCCAAATTAGGAGATGATATTAAATAGCGATATCAATAAAGTCACCTATCAACCCTGCTACATACTGCTAGTGTTATTATATTGAGTGCTTCCATTCTCTACATAACCTCTGAATAAAGGCATCGGATCCTGATCCTGAATTCTGTATCCCTTGATGAGTGGGTAAGTCCAGTCCACTCACCTACCTTACTGTGCTTCCTGAACCAGACCTGAATTAGACCTTCTCATTCTTACAGTCTGTACCTGGAGTTGGCAACTTTCAGAATTCCAGATATTATGAACTACATCTTCCCAGATGCTTTACCACTGTTATGACTGTAAGAGCATTATGGGGGATGTAGTGCTGAAGGTTGCCTACCATGGTCTATATACATAGTGAAATATCCAGTGCATCCTACGTGGATCTTCCCCCAAAAAAACAACGTGTTTCAGTGCCACACGTGAACCTTCCCCCCCACCACTTGTTAGAATCATTTTGGTGGAATTTAATTCTCCGGAATAAAGCTGCCAGTCCTGTCTAATTCTCTCTCTGGGTGTGAATGTTGTGAAGATATTTTTATCGTTTGGTTCCGGATTTCAGCTATATGGTTGTATCTGGACAGGATGTATGTATTCAGAATTCTCCAATTCTGAAAACTCTCCAATTCAGAAGCCGTATAGCAAAATCTACACATTGGGGGGGAAAAACATTTAAAAAGTCTTAGATGGTTATTTTTGTTAATCCTGTGTTTAAACCAGGGGTGCCCAAAAGGTAGATCCCCAGATGTTTCAAAACTAAAACTACCATGATGCCTTGCCATTCTAAATGCATGCAAAGCATCATGGGAGTTGTAGTTGTACAACAAGTGAAGTGCAATTTTTTTTTTTTTTTCTAGAATCATTGTGTGGGTGCCTGTGTTCACAGTATACCACCACTAGGGGGCAGCAATGATTGAGTCAATTGTTCTTGGCCCCATTAAATTCCGAATGGTGCATATTTTGCCCCACACATTTTCATTCCTTTGGAAGAGGAACCTTTCTAAACATTTTAAATACAGATTTCATGGTGGCAACCTATTTTAAAATGGAGTCACAATGTCTGTCTGTAGAAATGACTTTCTGTTTGTGTGATGTATTTTAGTGCTGCTTGTATTTGGAGGAATTCTTCAGATCCCAATGCAGCTCAGTCTTAAACTGGTTTTGTTTTTAATCCATTGAAGCCAATCTGGAAGGTTTCTTGTGTTTTTTTGTTTTTTTTTGTCTTACATGTCCAGATTGTCTGAACAAGATGTGTCTGAGCTGGGTAGAGCAGTATAAACCTAGCACGGCCCACCAGTGGGCATTATATGACAATGCTGACGATTCTGTTTCCATCTAAGGCCGGGCAGCTTGAAATGTTTCCATAGAAATGATGCCGAGCAGCTCTGCTCTGTATCTGACTATTTTCTTGTTTCCTGTAAAATATCGCACATTGGGGGACCTGCTTCCCCGTTGCACCCCTTTATAGCACTTCATTGCAGCACTGCCTTGCGGTGTGTTCTAGGATCACAATATCTATACCATTAACGGTCTATTTAAGACCATCTTTTCGTTTCTGTCTGATTGTGTTCCTTACACGTCACTTGGCTTGCTCAGAATACCCTGTTCCTTAGGATTCTACTTTTGACCTTGGCTCGTTTTTGGTAATTAGATCAGCTGATGTTTCTCCATTTACCCCATCCTCCTGATCTCTGCTAGATCTGTGGTTTTTATTCGCTTGCTGTCTGCACTGACCTCTTGTCTAGACTTTCTGGTCCAAAGTGTAAACATCTCAGCTTTTAACCACTTCATAACTTTTGTCAGTAGGAACAGCTTGTGCTGCGTTGTTTACTCCTAAACCCTTCCCTGTACAAGCTACATGTTCTCGCTCAGGTCATGGTGTTTCCCTGGGGAAGACACACTGGTCATCACTAAGATCGCAGTTGGATCAGTGACCAGAGGACAGGGGTTTTTGTCTGTGGTAGGTTTTATTTTTGTGCTTTGTAAATATATCATCAGGTCCTGCTTAAGTGTCCAGCCTCGTAATGTGCTTTAATGAGATGACATCCCGTACCTGGGAAACACAACCTTGAGCGATCCCATTAATGTTAAAGTGTCCTTTGAAACCCAGATAGCTTATGGTGGACCATTCCTAGCTCCCATAGCACCTATTCCCACCCTGGACTCATGCCAACTCATGGATACCAATATCATACATTAAAAGATAGTTTATTTATTGTAAACCATTGTGTAAGTATTTGGTGAATTTTAAATAGTAATCAAATGGCCCCCTTCTTAATAGATTAGAGGGAAAAAAAACAAAAAAACGGTGTATGTGGAATTGCTACAGAGCTGGTTCTATGTTCATTGATTACTTTCCAATAATGCTCCTCTCTGTATGTATGGGGTAACTATAAAAAATGAAACCGATTTACAGAGATATTTATAGCCTCCCACTTCCGAGAGGCCAAACACATTATCCCATTTATGACAAAGACAACCTCTGCTTGTGAATAGACAATGCACAACTTCTTTAATATTAATCCTATACTCTGAGGGGTAGAATTAATGTTTTTTTGATTTTATTGAAAAAGTAGAGATGTGATTCATGTTGTATTTCCTTATGGAGGGACGGCCGTCCGTGTGACACCTCTACCGTGAGTACAGTATGAAAACACTGTATTATTATTTTTATTATTATTTTATTATTTATATAGCGCCAACAAATTCCGTAGCGCTGTACACTGTATGTAAATAATCACCGTGTGCATACTGAGAGTCGATCGATGGAAACCAAAAAATAGGCAGCCCTTGATGGTTTTACAACTTTCCAATTTTTGGTTGTTTTCTTCAACCCATCAAAAGTATTGATTGGGAGAGGAAAACGCGCGGAAGAGAGCGAGAGAGAGATCAAAGCAAAGGAAATACAATGTCCCATTGTACAGCGCTACGGAATCTGATGGCGCTATATAAATAATAACATACAGTGAAAGGTTTTTATAAGGCACTAGAACCACATTGACCGTCCTGTATGAACAGACTATGGGGAATGGAGAAAGGACTTCCTTATTTTCAGAGAAAGAACATTGTATGATAAAGCTGGGGGAGTTAGACAACAGCCAGACCACTAAAGATCCACTGAATAAACTCACAAAATTCCCTGTTGCGTTTAAGGAATTTTGAGAGTTGTAGTCCAACATGTGGGGCACTTTAGGTATTGCTTGGTGTGTGTGGATATAGGGGATGTACTTTGGGGCAGATTGCTTTGGTAGTTGTTAGCAGGGATATTAGGCCAGCGTTTCCCCTTACTAATGTAAAGCCCCAATGGAAATTAACTGTACGTGTTGTATGTGATCTGTAAAGGGTGAGTCAGTACTTTAACAGCCATTTGTGTTGATTAATAGGAGGCTATTAAAGCAGAGTTCTTATAATTCATTATTTCTGGCCAATATGGCTGATTTGGGAAAAGTCTCTGTTTTACAGGCTTTTTTTCTTCTTCAAAATTTGCCATTCTCTTTAACCCCTTAAGGACACATGACATGAGTGACATGTCATGATTCCCTTTTTTTCCAGAAGTCCTTAAGGGGTTAAATTCCTGACAGTTCACACTTTGGTAAATAACGCTGTATGACTTCAGCCAAAATAGAGATTTTATTTTGCCAGATTAACTATTTTGGCCTTTTTATTTGTTTGCTACTACTCACTGCTTATCGAATAAGCCCCTCAGTAGAACTAAATAGCCGGAGAGCCTATATTGGAAACCTGCTGAATTTAATTGCTGCGGAAGAGTGAGGGGAGCCTCTATTGGAAACCTGCTGAATTGAATTGCTGCGGAAGAGTGAGGGAATTAGCTGCAAAGAGAAACTGTGAATGTAAGTGTTAAAAAAAGAATGTTTGTTTTTTATTGTGTATTATTGTAAAACATGCTGATAGTGAACTTGTCCTCTGCATACATTACATTGGGTCTTCGTCATGCTTATTAGCATCCCTTTATTTTATTAGAGGGTTGGGGGGATCAGTAAGCTGAATTGTGAGCTGCCCAATTGCACTTATATCAATATACCACAAGAGGGCACATGGAGCCATTTTTCTTTACTTCTCACTGTATTCAGCAGGGCTGTACAATTTGTAAAACAAGACACGCAATTCTAACAAAATCTGTTTGACCTACAGGAACAGTAAGTGAAGAGGGCCCTGCCCAAACAAGCTTACAGCCTAAAAGGATAAGGGACAAATCCACGGAGTGAGTGAGGGAATGCAGTGATCTGGACATACCAGGGCAGAGAGGTGTTCAGGAGGAAGGAGCGCAACGGATGGGAGACCGCATTGGAAGGTTGTCACTCTCCGCCTCCATTAAAATCTCCCGAGAGCCAGAAGCTCTCCTGAACTCAGCTCTGCAGTGCCAGTACCAGCTCATTGGCTCAGCGCGTCAGCGATCCCGGTCACAGTGAGCCAAGCCGTGCACAACCAGGCCTAACTCCAACAGATTACTTTCAGCTCTCGGAAAACTGTAGCGCAGGCGGGGAGTGGCCCCCAGTGAACCACAAGAATTCCATTCAAAAACGGTTTGACTTCTTACAATGTGGGGTGCAAGAGCAATCCAGGCACCATAACCACTACAGCACACTGCAGTGGTTCTGGTGCTTGGCATGTTTCTTAAAACTGCAATTTGCACTTGTTTTATTTTTCTCCTCAGGCAGTATTAATAAGGGCTGTTCTGTGCTGTTGCTGAAATAACCCTGATACTTATTGAAACCGAAGAATCACAGCTAAAATGAACTCAACGTTTCTACATTCTGAAATCACTACAAAGAGGCTTATTCACTAACCAGAATGGCACTGGACTGAGCACCTATTTACAAAATATCGACAAAAACTGCTAAAAAATCACCCACTTTGCTAAGCCACAGCTCGGCTGTTCTCACACCGTCGATGGTTTGGTGACTATATTGTATCCAAACTGGTTCGCTTTGATATTATGGGTATCTTGAGCGATTATTGCAGTTTTCCTGAGCTGGCGTTTCTAGTAGAGGAAATGTAACATTTTAACAAGATCTATTATGCGAACACAGCTGGCTTATTCCACAGCCGCCGATCCTCTCTACATCACTGCATTTCTCCTCTCCGTCTGTGATCACTGGGCCGCGGGAGGACAAGCTGTGATCTCTCCTCTGGCTGTATCAATGCAAGAGGAAGGGACTCTTTAAAGAAAAGCTCCCCCATGGGACATAAACCACAGGAGATTGTGTAATTGTATGTAACAACTAAATACAATCCAATAAATCAGCACTGTCCTCTACTATCGACCTCCTCAGCTTTCCCCATTATCAGGGCATTGGTTCCCAGCCCAGTCCTCAAGGCGAAGCAGCGATTTAGATCCTGTCATTGTTCCCTTAGACTCAGAATTGGGGGACGCCTACGTCCTGAGCTGCAGGTCTGCTGTGAGCTCTGGGTTCCTATGGGTTCTCCGTATTTGTGATCAGATTGTGCCTCACTGCATGTAAAATGGTAAACGGTGGAAGCAATCTTTCTAATAAACCCACCGTCCATCTTTGAATTATTCTAGTCTAATCATTACAAGCCTGACTGATTTACTGCGTGTTGGCGTTACTTTACTTGCAATGTACAACTTGCAGGCGTTGGTATCTGGCGTCAAGTTTCTGTTTAAGACATACTGGCAGAGCAATGTCTGATTGAAAGAGCTTATAGTCTAATACAGAGGTGTCAAACCCAGGCCCCAACATCGCTATCACCCCCATACTCCTCTGCAGCCAATGGCACTCAGGGAATTGTGGGTGTTGTAGTCATGGTCTGGGAGGGTCTAGGGTCCCTTGCGTCTGCCGCCATCTTCATCCAGTTGGTCCACTCCAGCTCATGGCTGTTCATCTACAACAGGCTTCCCCAAACTCCGGCCCTCCAGATGTTGCTGAACTACAACTCCCATGATTCTCAGCCTATCTATTTCATTCATAGAATCATGGGGGTTGTAGTTCAGCAACATCTAGAGGGCCAGAGTTTGGGGGAGCCTGATCTACAAGGAGCCCATGTCTAGAAATAGCTAGCTAGATTTGTCGGCGCTTACCTGGCTGTGGTTAAAGCAAATCACAATTTGTGTATGTAATTATCTAGCCACAGTCACATAGGGGGCAAACATTTAAACATCAAACGGTACAGAACAATAGTATGTCTGGAAAAAACACGATGAAACACAAACTACATACAATGCGTTCAGGATACTTAGTGCTAAGTGGTCGCTGTATAAACCCGTACCAGTAAATTACTTTGGAGTAAAAGATGTGCTTAGCTCTGTTTGTTGACAGAGGACCTGTGAGTGAGTTGCAGGTTTTTATAAATCTGAGCATCTTTGATGGTTTTCTGACGCCTTCATGCATGAGGTAGTAGAGGAAGGCAGAGGGCTGTGATGGGGGGGGGGGAGATGTTCAGCTGTGCTGTGTGTGACATTGCCATTACACTACCAGGAACAAGCTGTGTAATTAGAACAAGGCAGGGGATGAAAGGATGCATTGATAACCTCTAGAAATGGGAATAGGGAATGAAGAATGATCAAAATCTCTAGGCCAACTCTCTCTGAGTGTAAGGGCACTTTCTCAATGTAAGTTTGGCTCTAACCTGGCCCAGTCACTTCGAGAGCTCCGGAGCACAGACGCATCAAACATCAGGAACACAATCTGTCTTCTTATAGTAACGGACGGCTGTCCTCCCCTCAGCAGCTCCACAAAGTTAGGTCTGTGAGTGCCATTCCCTCCGTAATTTACTTGTTACCCATGTATCTAGTCTGACTAGCTGGGAGCTGGATGGAGCCTCGTACACCTTTCAATCTATTACATCTCAGGACAGACACAATAAATTGCATTTGTGATCTATACACAGTCTGACTCCAAGCAGGAAATCGTTAGTGTATTGGATTTTCGAGCTTTTCATGGCTGGCGATAGCCCTTCATTTTGTGCTATTTTTCCCAATTCCCATGATGTTCGGCTGATAACCGGCTGAGCTTAATGGGAAAGACTGTCCAGAACACCGCTACCATGGTAAAACGTAACCCCAAGCTTCTGATTTAGCTGTTAATAGATTTCCCAATCAGCTGGAGATTGTGGGTGTCGTTTAGCCATGGGTTTCCTCCTAACCCCTTCACCACTGTACAACAAGTGATGGGCTAGTATTAACTAGAGTGTCCGCAGCCCCCTTACTGACTATACAGAATAACCTGGGCAATGGGTTAACCAGTACCAACACCAACTTTAGAAATACAGTATTATTGAAATAATAAGGCAGAAAGGAGCGGATTTAGAAACCTGTCTCCACTTTACATTCGTTTTACGGTTTAGTCTGAATTGGCTACAAATTGTCGTTTAGTGGATGCACTTTTTCGCCTTTTCAGTTTTTGCTCTCTAAATATAAAAATAAACTTTCCTGATATTTGATTATAAACTCCACATACCCAACCAATGCCAGGGTTCTCTTTTAACTCTTTATATTAATGCAAAAGAAATTTCAATTTTGTTGGAAATATTTGTATCATTTGAAAAAAACCTGATGGTCCATGTTGCCAGGTCTCATCACCCCACTCACCCAATCTGCTATAGCGCTTTTCCTTAACATTCATGACCTGTACGTAATGATGGTGTGGCTGACCTGTGCGTCTTACTGCAGGGGTCTCCTCTTACTGCAGGGGTCTCATCTTACTGCAGGGGTCATGACCTCTCCCTTTCAGTGCTGGTATTGAACTCGGAAGATATCCTCCCATTTAACCCTTGACGGGTTAAGGAGTTAACCCTTGGTGGTGAAGTACACCAGAAGTTACAGAGGCAGTCCTACAAAACTGTATTTATTTTTTTCATTTTTCTTCTAACCATTTAATTGCCAGTAACGTAACTACATGAGTCATGAAGGAGTTAAATTCATTGAACCAGTGACGCTTGTAATTAATGAGCACATTTATCAAACTGGAACTGTCCTACAAATCACTGTCAGATCATGGGCCTTGCAATCTCCCCCTGCACTCTCAAACCAGTATTTGTATGAATTGCTTGGTGTGCTTTTATCCCTCTAAGAGTTAAAGACCGGCTCCCCAAATAACCAATTTGGAGCAAGCGGGTAGCATGTAAAATCAAAGTATTACATACCCCAGCAACAACTTATCCCTAATCCTATTAACGCATTGCAGCATGCAAACCGCGGAGGATTAATTTCAGTAAGAATCTCCCACTAGCAGTTGGTACAGCATTGTACAGAGAAACACATGCAGTGGTTCCAACCTCCCAAAATTAAATCTGCAAGAACCGCTCTTTGCCAACTGGAAAGCTAAGACGATTTCATTCTGTCAGAGGATTGCAGGCTGTGTGAGCTCAGCACCATGGACAGAGCAGCCTACACAGTCTGTCCTAAATAGCTTGTGGTGAGACCAAACACACTAAAGGTCCCAGCAGATTTATGCAAATTACTGTTGTGCATTATTTGCATATCTCAAATAGGACCCTGGGAAAAGTGCACCTTTAGCAGAATAATTCCGAGGGTTATAAAGGGTTTTAGGGCAGAGGTGTGGGGAACTTGTTGGAACAGCCTTACAGTCATTCCGTGAAATATTAATAACATTTGAAAGCAGAGACTGGAGACACAGATCCCAAATTATTACTATTATGCTATGATCTACAACATTAACCCATTTTTTGTTTTCCTGTGTATATACATTTATGGATCTCTGATAAACTAATGGCTTGGGTTAGTGTAGGAGGCAGAAGCACAGCTTATTTATGCCAATTTCACATTTGAGGCTAAATTAGCTGAGTTGTAAAAATTCCCCACATCCACTGCATTCGTTTGGCTAATTTGAAATTCTTTGTATCCCTATCAGTTCACACCCAGTGAAAACTTGTATTTGTTTTGTAATCCCAAGCTTGCCGTAACTGATAAATCCAGTAAACGTAGAGCCTATGGGGTAATGAAGAAACACACTGATGGTAGTAGCAAAAAAATGGGGGGTAACCCCTAAATAGGTAACTGGAATTAAAATAAAGAAAAAGAAAAAAAAAATCTACCAGCAGGTGTATCTTAATTGGGAGAGTTCATATCCACAGATCATGATGTTGGCATTTAATTTTCTGTTCCTTTAGGTATACTGATAAAACCTGAGAATTGATCTATGAACCATGCTCTAGAACAGGGTTCTCAAAGCTCTGGCCCTCCAGATATTGCTTAACTACAATTCCCATGATTCTCTGGCTATCTATTTAATTCACAGAATGAGAATTGTAGTTAAGCAACATCTGGAGGGCCAGAGCTAAATTAAGTCTCACATAGTAATGTGACCTGACAGAGCATCATGGGGTTTGTAGTTCTGAATTGACTTTATCTCTCTCTGCTGGCTAACCCTCGTGAATGGAGTGAGTTTTAACGAGTTTCACACATTATTTAACCCAGAATGGAAATCATGTTCAGACGTACCAGCTGGAAAAAGCAGGTTATAGAAGACCTTGATACAATGGGCTTGTAGATGATTTGAGACTGGTGTCCAAACAAGTCGAAATCCATTTTATCCAAAAAGTGGAGATGCAGTAAAAGCTAAGCAGCTGGAGTATGTAAAAGCCCTTCATGGGACCTTTCAGACAGAGATGTCCTAGATTTGCCTTGAAGGAAGATGTGCTGATTGCATTGTGAAAGCTGAAATCTGCAAAAACTTAATTTGACAAAGAATTCTTTCTGCAAAGTCCAAAACCGGCTCTTCAGGGGATCTGTCGGATTAACAGGAACTTTGATCATCACACCAGCCTGGGTCTAACTGTGAGTGGCGAGTCCTGTGTTTAGCTCCAGAACACCTGTATGTCTTGCATAATTTATGGAGAACATCAAGAGAAGTCTGCCAAAACTTAATCTGGTACAGTGGACAGCCTGCATAACGTACACAAGCTCTGGATAATAACTGGAATGGGATTGTTGTGGGCGTGGGATTTTTGTTTGTTTTATTATTAATTCACTATTTAAGTGCATCACTATGCTGCAGTTCCTCTAGAGCAAGGGGTCATTAAATATGAAAACAGATCTTATGCATTTAAATTCGTTCTACTCTACAAATTGTATTTCTGTGTATTGGACTCCTGTTCCGTTTCTTCCAACATTTGCGGAGAATCTCTAAGGTTATAGAATGGCTACATTGTTTTTTACCACATAACACATGATACTGAATGTGATCCGTGACCTGAGATAGCCTCAGTCTGTCTTCTTATAAGAGATTCTTATCTCGTTTGCAAATTAACTGTTTTAAGCAGTATCATTGTCCAATTAACTTCCATTATTGCACACCTAATCTAAAGTTTAGTCATCATCTCTTATATACAGGCAGTGTGAATGTAACGTGGCTTTGTAACCAATAATTAAACTGTGGCGGAATCCACCGTCAAATTCATATTGATTTGTGTGTTTTATATTTTTTGCATTTGGGAGTTATAGTATACGAACACTCTGCATTCAGATCCCTAATGAAGACCACCCTGGTACCACATTAGAATGTTCTCACCTAGTAACTTAAGTGTGAAACCGCAAGGTAAGTAATTAATGAATGCTTTCCCTGGGTGGCCGCCATTTCGTATAAACGAATGCATGTGGTCGACAAAAGAGTGGCAGCCATTTTGTCTCCCGAACGTGGGCAGAGGCACTTGATCGTCGAGTGTCTGGAACTCTTTTTGGCTAGGCACTCGCACGAACACCGGTAAAGATTAGACTACTGCCCATTCTACTTCCCGACCAACTATGCGAACAATGTTTAGGAGATGGGAACTACCAAACTGGGGGAGCATTTATACCCTGAAATTAAGAGAATCCCTTGCATGGTTTTCGCACAGGAACCCCTGAACAGAGATCGTCCGGGACACCTATTTCCCTGGAACTGTTTTGGGCTAGCACCTCATGTCCGGCCGGTCAAAACTTTACTCCGGTGGCATTCCAGTTTCACCAAACCGATCTGAGTGATATTTGGATATGTTATACACTCAGATCAGGGCTATCCAGGGATATAACTTGTGTGGTTCCTAGTTATGGTGGGGGTACTTTTGGGGTAATTTATATTTTGCATAGGATTTTTATGTACCTGAGAGATAATTAAATTAGGCACAAAGGATGCTGGGAATTAAAACCCTGTGTTATTGTGTTGGCGACCCCATGTAGGGGTCTGTGCACAAAAGCTGTGTGTGGCCTGAAATAAATCAGTTGACTTCCAGAACTATGTTTCGTTCGGTTACTGGGGAACGAAACATAGTTCTGTATGCTTTAATGGTTCCAGATTGGCTGAGACAAGGAATTATCGGAGGTAACCAGTCGGGTTACCCGTGGTCCGCTACATAGACTTTATCTAATCTGCCTATAAAGCTCTCTCAATCTATTTTTATTCATTTCCATGAGCGCTTTCGTTTTCATTAAACACCCAATGGAGTCTGGGTGTACCAGGTTTGTTTTATTACATCTTAAATGTCATCGTCGACCTCCCAGCCTTTCTTATAATATAATACTCCGGATGTCTTGCTCCCCACTAGTTAAACCGTATTGCTGAAGGCTAAACTCTGCATCAAACCCCAGTGAGAATGGAAACTCATTCCCTGAAGTTCTCTATACTTCGTGTTTAGCAAACACACTTGTGATCCAATACTGACACTTTCCCGAAATTGCAGACCTTCCAGCTAATGCATGAACCTGTTCTCCTGGGCTTCTGGACTTCTCATAAGGAGAATATAGACACACCTCCCCTTCCATTACCGTTCCACCGAGCAAAGCTTTTAAATCTTATTAAAAATACACAGCATGCTTTAGTCTCTTCTTTTAAAGGGACCCCAAAGTGTGTATGCTGGAGGTTTGCACTTTTTGTTTATCCTACTGCTTATTAGTATATCTGTATTCATTAACCAGATCTATTTCACCCCATTGTTGCTCTGTAGCCTCTGGCTTCCCTTCCCAATCATTCTATAAAACAGGAGCTATTGAGTTGGCAATTGTTCTGTAATTAGATTATTTCCCTGGCCTTAAGAGAGCTTTATGTTTTAAGGTGCGTTGCCTACTCTAATTTTTATATATCGTTTTAGTTTGGTGTGTTAGCGCTGATCCTTTTTTTTTTTTTTTTTATCCTTTTGTCTTACCCTTTCATGCTCCTATTTATTAATGAGCAATATCAATTCTCTTTGGACACTGCATATCAGCAATAAACTGTAACACATGGTCTTCTACGATCAGTGATCCTTTCAGCATGGCTGCCTACATTACTGGGGTGTTTGGAAGGTGTTTAGATCTCGGTTTAGGGATTTTTCCACCCATTAATTTTTGTAGACCTTGTAAACTCACGTTACTGAACTGCAAACAGTTTCTCTGGAGCTCAAAAGATTTAACTACCAGTTTCCTGTTTTTTTGGTGCAGAGATTTTGTCTGCATTATAATAGATGCAAACGTTGCCTTTGCGTGACCTTCACAGATGCATTGCTTGTTAGCCTTGCACTCCATGGGCGATTTTGTTTTATTCTATCTGCGCCATCTGAACCCTCGGTTACTGTGATTAGAACTATTGTTTTACGGAGTGTGACGTTCTCTTGCGGTGTTTTCTGTCTTAGGGTGACATTATGCCCAAAGGGGGAGACGGGGACAACCTGTGTCAGAGTAATTTTTCTTTTGCAGGGTTTTACGGGCCGACCACCTTTTGTAGTGAACGTTTCCGACCCCCAAATGGACTGAGATTAGATGAAGTTGAGCCATCGTGAGATTAAATTCCGTGATTTCATGCAAGCTGTGATGTGCAGGTACACAGTGTTTGTGTGCAAAGCATGATTGTAACTCTTTCACTGCCCGGAAGCTTTCTCTGTGCGATAACTCAACTATTCCTTTAAATCTCCCAGATCTGCATGGAGGACGACTGAACCCCCCATTACACAGAGATCAAAATCTGACAGAATGCTGTATATTTTACAATGCTTGTGTTTCAGCAGATGAGGTAGACACACAGGAAGGATTCCTTGAGAAAAACCATACTAAGTAGATTTTAAGAAAATTTCCTGTGTCCACAAGCCTAGATTTAAGCTGGGGATCCCTTTCGGTGGAACAAACCCCCACCAGCCCTTTGGGAGACAATGGGGACTAAGGCTGGGGAGCCATCGGGAAGAGGGACTGGAAGCCATTAAGGAGAGGGGCTGGGAAGTCATTGAGGAGAGGGACTGGGGAACCATTGAGGAACTGATCCTGATATTAGCCAGCCCTGAACTGATCCTGATATTAGCCAGCCCTGAACTGATCCTGATATTAGCCAGCCCTGAACTGATCCTGATATTAGCCAGCCCTGAACCGATCCTAATATTAGTCAGCCCTGAACCGATCCTGATATTAGTCAGCCCTGAACCGATCCTGATATTAGTCAGCCCTGAACCGATCCTGATATTAGTCAGCCCTGAACCGATCCTGATATTAGTCAGCAATGAACTGATCCTGATATTAGTCAGCCCTGAACTGATCCTGATATTAGTCAGCCCTGAACTGATCTTGATATTAGTCAGCCCTGAACCGATCCTGATATTAGTCAGCCCTGAACCGATCCTGATATTAGTCAGCCCTGAACCGATCCTGATATTAGTCAGCCCTGAACTGATCCTGATATTAGTCAGCCCTGAACTGATCTTGATATTAGCCAGCCTTGAACTGATCCTGATATTAGCCAGCCCTGAACGCTAGTTCCGGGCTTGTTAATGATGCCCAGTGATGCTCTCCAGGGGTTATTACCCATATGTGCATGTTTCCATAGTGAATTACTTCAAATTATTGAATTGGCCATGCTGCATGGGTTAATCCATTAGCATAGTATGATCATATTTAGATGATGTTCGTGGTGAGCTTCAGACAGTGTGGCTGAATTGGAGTGATGTAGTGGTGAGCTTTAAGGGAAGTTGGTTTCCTGGCACTATAGCTCCCTATAGTGCCCCTCCATTGCGCCCCCCCCCCCACTTCCGTGGTGCAGAAGGGGGTTAAAAACCCCTTCTGTCTCTTACCTGATTCCAGCGCAGATGTTCTGACATCAGCCGGCAGGATAGACCTAATGTTAGGACTTCCCCCATAGCAAAGAATTGTATAATGCTTTCCTATGTGGTTTGGGGTGACATTGGAAGTCCTCATGCATAGCGTGAGCCCGTCCAGTGTCACACGACCAAAAGTTGTCTAACGACCAGGAAGTCCCTCAAGAGGCTGTCAGAAAGACAGCCACTAAAGGTGGAGTTAACCCTCAAAGGTAATTATTGCAATTTATTAATAGCTGTAATAACTACATGCTCAGGGTTATGGGAACCGAGACAGCGCATCCAGAACACTTCAATGAGCTGAAGTGGTCTGGGTGCCTGTAGTAAAGATGCCTTTAATCACCACAAGCACTACAGCTCATTGCAGTGGCTACGTGACATTCTACTGGAATAATGTTGTCCAACTGTTTTCACAGAAATTTCAATTGAAAGTTTCCTTCCCATGTTGGATATATGAATTCTGTCTTTGAATAATATTCATTGACTGAGAGCATTAGAAGTCACTCCACAGTCAGTGAATTCTGTGCAGTTTGACAAAATTTGTATTTCTAATGAAAAAGGGACTCTGTGAGGGGCTCTCAGATTGTGGGCTCCCGGGTGTCACTGTGCTCCACAGTAAGTTTTAAATCACTGGAAAATGGTTTAAGTCTTAACAGTGGGACTGCACCAGGGGAAGCCTGACACTGTAACCACTATTGCAAGTTTCAGTAGGACCATATTGGGGTGTCCAAATCCCCATTTACTTCTCATTAAAGTTGTATATTTTATGTTTGCTCCCTGCTCACTTTTTGTGTATTTTATATAATTTGGTGAACAGCATGGAAACCCAGTTGCTATAACCATTGAATTATTTAGCCCCAACAAATTCTACAGCGTTAGACGCGCAGAGTAAAACCTTCTATGACAGACTGAAACAAACCCAGAAAATTGGTTTTGAGAGCCCTGCCCGCAAGCTTGCAATCTAAATATTTCTGGCTGTTTAGGCTTCTGATACCAAATTGTTTTGATATTTTGGGGGCAGTGAAATTACAACACCTGTCAGTGCGATATCTTCTGTGTCTGTGTGCGGCGTGTAAATCTACCAACGTGTTCCCGACACAGAGAAAGGAAAACTTCGGAGTGAATGGATGCAGCTGTACAGCATTAAGGAATGGTGTTTAACCCATTATTGGCCCCCCATGCTGCCTCAGAGGGTCTGCTGTGGTTGGAACAAGCACATCCTATTGTTCAGACCCAAAGGAAATTCTCACAATAAATCGTTTATAGTAGTGGCACTGCCTGCACAATCCACTTGAAACATCTTTAAACACCGGGAAGAGTTGTATTTTTTAATTTATTTTTTTCTGAAGAATTTGTTAATGGGCTAATTTTACAGGTGACAAATGGGTTAATGCGCTAATTTTACAGGTGACGAATAGTTAACTGCACTAATTTTACAGGTGACGAATGGGTTAATTTTACAAGTGATGAATGGGTTAATGCGCTAATTTTATAGGTGATGAATATGTTAATGGGCTGATTTTACAGGTGACGAATGGGTTAATGTGCTAATTTTACAGGTGACGAATGGGTTAATGTGCTAATTTTACAGGTAATGAATGGGTAAATAGGCTAATTTTACAGGTGACGAATGGGTTAATGTGCTAATTTTACCAACCTAATGTACATAATTTTTGTCCCTTTAAAAAAAGGTTTAAAGCTATGAGCCTGTAACTGGTTTCTCTAAGCCAGGGGAAGGGAAGCTACCAGCTAATGAACTACAATTCCTGTAATCCCTGTTTGTATGTTTGTTAACTTTAGGGTTATCACGCTGGGGCATAATATGCACTTATAGTTTAATACCTTCAGGTAGGTATGGGCATTCTAAAGAACTAGTTAGTTGGGTGACTTTAGGACTTTGAGTTACTCCCAGGCTCGAGGTGCGCTCTTGGCTAATTAGTGAACGGTTTTGGTAGAGTTTGGAGAGTGCCACAGCTATGACAAGCTCTTAGGCGTATTTGTGATACATTGTAAGTGAATATTGCTAATAGTTTCAGTGAGGACACTGTGTATCCTTTTCTCATCCAATGTAAATTTCATACTAAGCCTATAGATATAACTGGCTATGTATAGGAATACAATGGGCGCTGAAAGAACACAATATATAAAGATTTCATTTTGAGTTTTAATTTATTTTTGGAATGTCTGCCCTTCGTCATCTTTAACAAGTAGGGATAGATATATAGTGTCTTGTCTGAGATAAGTTATCTCTCGTTTTATTTTATTTTATCAACTCAAGTGTGGATAAAGTCTGTTCTAAGTTTTATTAAGGGTGTCTCTCTATTTCCATCTTTTCAAGAAAGGAAAAACAAAAAATAACCGAGTGCCTTTTTGTGAGGTTCTGAGTGCTGGTAGACACAGTTGATTAACTAAGTGACCAGATTAATTCCTGAGACAGCTCTTCTGGATCTAAAACTCCCAATACACACTTGCCAGATCTTCAATGGCTGGTCATGTTGGGAGTTACAGTTTTGGGGAGGAAACGGTCAAATATTTGCAAGAGTTACCTGCCTTTCCTGAGATTGGTGGCCTGTAACTCCCATCACTTACAGCTGGTCTTACTTTATTTTAGGTCAGTGTAACTGAACTTAAAGCACTGCTGACTTCGAGATCGTTTCTAGTTCGGCTGTTTCGACCTTAAATTTGAAATACACTTTGAATTCTCACTGTGTGTTTTAATTGATTTCTGGATCATTAAACATAGCAAGATCTATCGTCTTTTCGTGTCTAAAATTGTGGTGGCTGGGAGCGTTACAATTCTGGTCTGAAAACAATATCTCCTTTATTTACATACATATTACTAAAATCACCAAAACAAACTGCGGTTCCAGCCTGCACAGCCTTTTGTTTGAGTTATAGCCCAGTTCCTGCATGTCTTGTTCTAAGTAATTTTTCTAAACGATTCTACATATTCCGGTGTATTGATACACACAAACACCGACCTCTTGACGACTAACCCTGAGACTCACAGCTTAGCTAACTCATACATGCTTAGCGTGTCCGTGTTTAGGAAGTGTCCCCTTACCCAGCCATTTCCTCCATCACAGGCTCCTATAAATAGACACTTCCAGGGCGGATGTTTATCCGGAGAAGTCCGACAACCACAGGTTTCTTGACCTTTCTCACCAAGAAGTGCCAGTGTGTGGCACGAAGTCAAACATTGTATGAAACTGTAAAGTTCCCACAGATTTAGAGAAATCAGGCTTACAAACAGGGTTCCCTCCAGGTTTTGGTACCCTTCTATGTATATAGGGGGTCTATCACTTCTCTAAATATTCCACCTTTGAAAGAAACATTTAAATGAAAACAGAGGAAAAGGTCAGCGCAAGTTACAAACCATTTACTAAATATAAAGATTTAGCAATTGATATCACAATCCAACTTAGTCCTGGCACATTTACGGAACACATTGTAGAACCACTTGGGGGGATTTAGTCACCAAAATTGGAGCAGTCACCGTGGAAACCATTAGAACCATCACTGATGCCTCCCCTTATACATTTTTGCACCATTGAATATCATTTTAATAAATCTCCTAATTGTTCGTGTTTCTCCCTCTCTCTATGTAAAAAAACCAAAAAAACAGAAATAGGCGCTCACTACAATAGTAGAAAAAAATCAGTAAAAATCAGTAAATCAGCAAAGTTTCCCAGAACCTAGCAAGTAATACAGACTATAACAAACAAAGTGACAAACTGTGCCCACAAAATGTAGTGTATATATCCAACACCCCAGTGTCAGTATAAATGTATATAATTACATATACTTCTGAAGTCAGTTTGTGCAAATCTTGATCGATTTGTATAACCTCGAAAGAACAACAAATAGTGCAATATTTATATTAGCAGTGCTTGTGAAAAAGTGTATAGAGGACGAACTCACACATTACTGAGCTACTAAGAGCTCTGCTGTATTATCGCCTGTCTCTACGCTCTCCCTATGTTGACTTCTATCAGTGACTGCCCGGTTTATTTACTCAGCCGGGAGGGTTTGGGGCCAAAACAGCCAAATTAGAAAAATAAAATCGCAAGTTGAAAAAGCTCCAGTTTCACAATCTTGGTTTTAAGTTTGTGTTTCCCTCTTTATTTCTCCTCAATTCCTTGCTTAGTAAATAAACAGCAGAGTCAATCATTTGGATGTCCTTTACCTGTCAGATTAAAGGAGATAATTGCTTTATAATATAATCGGCAAATTAGGAAAGTTCTGTCTCAAAACATTGTCCTACATATATCCTGTCATATTATGTCTTGTATATTTCGTTTATTTTATCCTCCAGTGATTACAGCTCCCGGCCTCTTCACATCTCAGAATATCCTCATTTCATTAAAGTTTGATAAAAGACTAAGGAACCCGGAGGCCACATAACTCTGTGCGGCTGGCGGCCACATAGCTCTGTGCGGATGGAGACCACATAGTTCAGTGCGGATGGCGGCCACATAGCTCTGTGCGGATGGCGGCCACATAGCTCTGTGCGGATGGTGGCCACATAGCTCAGTGCGGATGGCGGCCACATAGCTCTGTGCGGATGGTGGCCACATAGCTCTTTGCGGATGGAGACCACATAACTCTGTGCGGATGGCGGCCGCATAACTCTGTGCGGATGGCGGCCGCATAGCTCTGTGCGGATGGTGGCCGCATAACTCTGTGCGGATGGAGGCCGCATAGCTCTGTGCCGATGGTGGCCACATAGCTCTGTGCCGATGGTGGCCACATAGCTCTGTGCCGATGGTGGCCACATAGCTCTGTGCCGATGGCGGCCGCATAACTCTGTGCGGATGGAGGCCACATAGCTCTGTGCCGATGGTGGCCACATAGCTCTGTGCCGATGGTGGCCGCATAACTCTGTGCGGATGGAGGCCGCATAACTCTGTGCGGATGGAGGCCGCATGTAAGGAAGTATTTCCAGATATAATGCCGTGAGCTTGGTGTGCTAGAGGGGGAAACAGGTTCATAGACTCCTGACTAACCTTGAGAACCACAGCTGTTAAAGTACTACATCTCCTATGTTGCTCAGCCAGGATGGGAAACATAATATGAAACCACTGCATGCCAGAGACTAGCCCTCATGGATGTCTCAATATAAAAAGCTAATGAGAATAATGTAGCAGCCAAATCCAGCTTTCATCTAGCCATCCCACCTTCCGTGCCCATTATGCCAGTTTGGAAGCCACAGCACGGCAATAGCCATCATGCTCTAAACACTGTAAGCAATAACAAAATAACTGCGTTTATTCTTCGTACAAGGCTAGAACTATCTCCGTCACTAATGCTTTCAAAAACACAAACCTACCAAGGGGGCGAACTCGCTGCCCATCATAGGTGACATTAGTCCTGGGCTGCATCCTGCCATGGCATTCGTTATTGCCCATTTACATTGCAAGCTTTCCTCTGGTTACTACATCCTGCTCGATTGTCAGCTCATACGAGAAGAGCCCTTACTCCCCTCCCCCCTATTCTATTATCTGATATATGTATTGCGCAGAATATCTAGGAATTGTATACAGAATAAGATTGCCAGCAGATTCCACAGCTGCCCGATTCTCCCCCAATTCTCTCCACTTTGTGTTAATTAGCCTTTGCTCAGTTACAGAGTGAATCATCTCCCATTATCCTATCACAGCTCCAAGACAGCAGAACCCACTGCTGCCCCCACCTTTTCTTCGCTATATTTACCAGCAAACAAATATAGATCCATAATAATTTGTGGGGGAGGCGATAGGAGAAATCACATCCTGAGCCTGAGGCAGTTACAGGGTTAAACGAGCACCATACATACGTTTGCAGGATTGGAGGATGAGGAGGGGGGTGCACAGCGTTACCTGGGATCTATTTGGTCCTTTCATCCTGCATTCCGCTGTGATTCTGACTGATAACTTGTATCATTTGTCTGATCTTGCAGAGTCTGGGAGCCCGCTCAGCATTTAATCTCCAGCATCCAGCTTTGGAATTGGCAAAGCACAGGAAGCCTTTCCCAGACTAGGAAGCAGCGTCTGGCCCTAAACCAGGAGGGGGAGAGAGGGGGGCAGCCAGTGGACAAGAGGGACACAGACAGCCTGCAGGTAGCACTTTCTCTCCATCCAAACCTGCACTCCCCAACCTCACAATCAATCCGCAGAGGGGAGGGATATGCAGAAAGAGGGGGAGGGGATTCTGGGATATGTCTCCAGAATTACTGGAGGATGGCTTCACCTTAACTAAATTCCAAAGCAAACGAAACCAAAAGATGAAAAGAGACGGGGAAAAATGAGCAAGTGTAAGAGCATTATATCACAGACTTACCGGAGTCGAAGTGGGAGCTAAAGCCAAAGCTGGGAGTGAAACAGCAGCATGTCATCAATACCAGGATCATACCCATCGCCAGGCATTGGGGGGGTAGGAAGAGCCAAAGAAATTGGGGTACTCAGAAGTTTTAGGGGGGTCAGCAGGAGGGAGTTGCATGGGGAGGAAGAAGGAGGCAGGATTGCAGCAGCTCTCTGTCCCTTATCATTCTCCTGCAGGGGAGCCAGAGCCAGGAAATAGATGCTCACACTAGGGACTGCGTGCTGCTCCGGTTAGGGGGGGTACCGGGTCAGGAGGCTGTGCAGGAATTGTAGCAGCACAGGCATGGGAGCTAATTCCAGTGCTGGCTTACTGGCTATCCGTCTCTGCCTTTTGCTTGATCCACAGATACACACCTACCTAATTCCTGGCTTTCTCTACGTTGCACACAGTGCCCTCTACAGACACCCATTGGAACAGCAGCGCAAGGAACGTACGCTGCTCATTCTCCTGACACCCACTACCACTGGCTGACACCTACACAGACTTCTGGGAATTCACACTGAGCTGTCGCTTTGACTTTTGTGATGCTCTCTGTCTATTACTTTCTACGAATCGTTGGCCTATCTCTCTCTCTCACATCTATCTGTATCTTAAAGTAAACTCTTCTCTCTGTCTGAACAAATCTATTCCCAAATATTCAAGCTCTCACCTGCTAGCCTGGCCTTAAAGTTACTAGCCAGCACACACAAGCGAACAGTATTTTGCTTTAAATTTCCATTTTTAGCTGCTGCATGCAGTATCAATGTGAGTGTTCAGAGTGTTTAAGGTTGAGTTTGTCTACATAAAGGGGTGTTTTGTGTCGAGTGTGAACAAATGTGGATAGAGTGTCACTGTGTGTGAATGCAGGCAGTGTATAGGGTGTGTGAATGCAAGTATTGCATATGGTGTGCACAAATGCTTCTGGTGTATAGGGTGTGTGAAAGCAGGGGTGTATAGGGTGTGTGTGAATGCTGGGGGTGGAAAGGGTGTGTGTGAATGCTGGGGGTGGATAGGGTGTGTGTGAAGGCAGGGTGGACAGGGTGTGTGTGGAGATGGGGGTGTATAGAATGTATGTGTGTGAAGGTGGGGGTGTATAGGGTTTGTGTAAAAAATGTGGGAGTATATAGGGCGTGTTTGTGAAGATTGGGGTGCATAGAGTGTGTGTGTTTAGGTGGGCGTGTGTAGAGTTTGTGTAATAAATGTGAAAATGTATAGAGTGTGTATGAATGTGGGTTTGTATAGGGGTGTGTGTGAATGCGGGGGTGTATAGAATGTGTATGAATGTAGGTTTGTATAGGGTGTGTGTGTGTGTGAAGGCAGGGGGTGTATAGAATGTGTATGAAAGTAGGTTTGTATAAGGTGTGTGTGTGTGTGTGTGTGAAGGCAGGGGGGTGTATATGGTGTGTGTGTGTGAAGATGAAGGTATATCGAGTGTGTGTGTGTGTGTGTGTGTGTGTGTGTGAAGGTGGGGGTGTATAGTGTGTGAGTGAATGCAGGGTTGTATTGGGTACAGGGTGTGTGCGTGAAGGCAGGGGGTGTATATGGTGTGTGTAAAGATAGGGTTTGTATAGGGTGTGTGTGTGTGTGTGTGTGAATGTGGTGTTTATAGGGTGTGTGTTTGCATGCAGGTCAGCATTTTGTTTATGAGCCCCAGAAACTGCACCCTATCAGTAATGGGAGCACAGCTCTAAAAAGCTATACTTTTGTCCTTGGCCAAGAAAGCCCCTGCCATCCGTTTCCCTCTTACACACTGCCCACTAATGGTAAGTGGCCACCGGTTGCCATAATTCTGTTGCCAGGACCCAATTTCCTCTCTTCGATCACAAGTGGAATCTTTATATAAACATACAGACATATACATGCTAAAACCACCTGTAGGATTTCAGATCTCCTGTGAACTCCCCGCCGGAGCCCTGTTTTTGGAACTGGCAGGGTGATAGTTAAATTAAAGGAAGAGCCTTGCTCCATTAAGATGCATGGCCTACATATCAAGGATTAGTCACTGTTTTTGCTGTGTGACTCAGCCCTCCCTCCTATTCACACTGAGAGCAGCGATGTCAACGCGTGAGAATATCAGCAATGCTCTCACCAGCCCTGTAACGCTCACGTCTCCTTCCTTAAAGCAGTCTCCATCCGATCCGTGCCCAACCTCTTATTAACAACAGGGATACTGTACCCTGATTGTTACAGCAAGATCAAGAATGGTGCACATGGGGAATTAGGATGGCTTTATTAATCAATTAATTGAAAACTAAATTCTAACATTAAAGGGACCCTATAGCCCCTGCAGTCTCACTGCTCATTTCTCTACCATTTAGGAGTTACATCACTTTGTTTATACAGCCATAGTCACACCTCCCTGCATGTGACTAACACAGTCTTCCTAAACACTTCATGTAAAGAGCCATCTAATGTTTACACTTCCTTTATTGCACGTTCTGTTTAATTTAGAATTTATTATCTCCTGCTCTGTTTATAGCTTGCTAGACCCTGCAGGATCCACCTGTATGTGATTAAAGCTCAATTTACAGAGCAGGCGATAAAAACTTCTAAAGCCAGCTACATCTGATGTAAAATTAAACCTTTTTATTCATGCAGGCTGTGTCAGTCACAGCCAGGGGAGGTGTGACTAGAGCTGCATGGACAGAAACAAAGTGATTTAACTTCTTAATGGCAGAGAATTGAACAGTGAGACTTCCGAGGCATGATCTATACACCATAATTGCTTAATTAAGATAAAGTTGTTTTGGTGACTATAGTGTCCCTTTAAGGCCAAATTGTTGGAAAAATAATGAATGTAAAAATATTTCCCATTACATTAATTTGGCCAACGTTTTGCAACTTAGTGTCCACTTCATCTCAATAAACTGTTGATTTCTCCTATATTTTGTTTCCAAGGTTGTCCTTGGAAACAAAATGTTATATATTTTATATCCAAGTAAGGATATTAGTCTCGTATTTCTCTGTCCTAATACAAAAATTATAAGATATTCCTCTTTCCATCTTTCATTGATGAATAATGGCTTCTTTACATTGTTGCCATGAATCTATTATCATCTTTTTCCAATTCCTGGCAATAGACAATTTAATAGCCATCAATGCGTGGATTAAGAAATATTGATGCAATGAAAAAAAACAAAGCGCCAGGCCCAGATAGGTGTGTATTTTTTTTTTTTTTATAAAATCTACAAAGATAGGCTCATTCAGGGTTTAAGGGAATGCTATAATACAGCTATGTCTACGGGGAAACTGCCAAACGAGATGTTAGCAGCCAATATTGCTCCTATACTTAAACCAAAAAAAAATTCAGAAGAGATTGCCAACTATAGGCCGATAGCTTTATTAAATAACGATGATCAAATTTATGCATCAATTATATCTAAAAGAATTAAAAGTATAATCTCGAGTTTAATATCAGAAAATCAAGCAGGATTTGTCCCCGAGAGAACATCGTCTAATCATATTAGGAAAATTATAAACATTTATGCTAAGGTACATGCCACAAAAACCCCCTTTCTCACTTTGGCGCTCGATGGAGAGAAAGCTTTCGATCGGGTTAACTGGAATTATATGAAATCAACTTTAGAGGCCTTTGGCTTCTCGGGACAAATCCTTTCGGCAATTATGGTCCTCTATTCCTCTCCATCGGGCAGGATAGTGGGAGGGGGAATCAGGTCTGATTGGTTTGAGATTTCAAACGGTACGCGTCAGGGCTGCCCACTTTCCCCACTTCTTTACATCATAGTGGCGGAACCACTGGCTCATGACATACGTTCGAATGTTAATATAACAGGCTTTCGTAAGAAGGACAAAAAGTTAAAGATAAGTCAGTATGCTGATTATATTTTGTTAACACTATCGAATCCAGCTCACTCGGTTCCAGCAGTAATGGAAGAAATAAATCAGTTTAGTTTTCTTACAAATTATAAACTTAACATTCAAAAAACAGTGGTATTGCCTCTATATATGGATGTGGCTGAATATAATTTCTTAAATAAACAATATGATTTTAAATGGGAGAAGAAAAGCTTTATATATTTGGGGATAAATATAGTATATGACCCTGTAAACATTATGAGAGCTAATCTAATCCCTTTAATAAAAGAAACTACTCATCTCCTTAAACAATGGAGTAAACTTGAGATATCCTGGTGGGGAAGAATTAATTCCATAAAGGCTTATATCCTTCCTAAGATTATTTACTTATTAAAGATGATTGCGATGCCGATACAACCCCACTGGCTAACAAATATCAATAAGATCTTTAGAAATTATATTCGGCTTAACAAGAAGCCCAGAATAGGACAAGACCTTATGTATCTGAAATATAAACAAGGGGGAACAGGATTTCCTAAAAAATTTTGTGTCATTAAGCTGCCCAGCTGCTTCATACAGTAGCTACAATTAATCAGGATACACACCCACAAGATTGGCATGAATTAGAGGGAGAAGATATTTCGGAACCACACAACATGGTTAAATTGTTGTGGCCCAGAAGAATCCTTGCCCCTAATAAACATACATGTCAAACAGACAACATGATATTAAAACCCCAGGTTAAATTCTGGACTTATTTCAAAAAACAAATTGATGTAAAGGATAAAATTTTGCCTGCATTACCGTTCAGATACCTGATGAAGTGGATAGAAAATTTAGATGTCAGTCAGTGGACTAGACATGGCATTAAGAAAATTTCAGATCTGTTTGATGAAAACAAGATTATGTCCTTTAATGATCTGCGCACTGTATTTAGCATTCCGACTTCTCAGAATTTTAATTTTATTAGAATAAAAAGCTTCCTACATAGTGTTATACCTTATTTGAATGAGCATTCTCCAATTTTTAAATTAAATAAGTTGATAAACTTGGAAAAAAACACAAAGATATTAACAAAATGTGTGGAGATAATAAATTCAATTAAAGTGCAGACCCATCCTCCCACCAAGACTAAGTGGGAAAGAGATCTGCAAATTAAAATTGACCTAAAAGATTGGAATATGGCTCTTCAGTCGGTTTACACCACAGTCCACTGCTTAAATATTATGGAGGTGCATTACAAATTAGTAAATAGATGGTATATGACACGATACAAAAATACGAAAGTTTTCAAATACTGATAGTCAGGGATGCTGGAGGTGTGATGCAGAAGATGCTGATGAATATGGTGGAACTGTATACCGTTAAGGAGAGCTTGGGATTGGTTTTTAGTTGAAATTAATAAAATATTGGGCACTAGAAATGGTACTGCTACATCTAAAATTACCACAACTAGCGAAAGATGAGAAATATTTCTTAACTCCTAATACACAGACAGACCTGTACCCCTAACACTCCTAATACACAGACAGACCTGTACCCCTAACACT